CAGTACTTGTTTACATAACGCGATACTTACATTTCAACGATTAATCGGAGAGTTTAAAGAGCAATTTTTGACTCGTACTAATATATTTGCTCAAAAAAATATTAGATTAACTTTGTCGTCCTATGCAGCAACCGTCCAGACGATGATAGTGTACCTTGTCAAGACTTCTTGTATGTTTGCTTCGATCGCGTGCTATGTAGAGAAGTAAACATGGCTTCTTTTGAATGTAACGCCGTTGATTATTATTAATATTATCACACATAGCTTCGCTATCATGTATTGCGCTTTTGAAATTGCCGCCAAAGCACTGTAATATTAAATGTTTAACGAGCCTACCCACACACGAATGAGTTAACTATCTGTATAATCCAAATATGACCAGGTTCACAAATAAAAAGTCTGTTAAAACAACAAAGAGGTGTATAGAGATGTGTACTTTAAACTGAAAAGCCATCATAAGTATACTTCCTTGAAACGGTTGCAGTTATTACAGCACACCCTACGTATGCCTGCCATGGTTTTTTACGTACGCAGCTTCTTTGGCAGCAGTTTACAAGTTTAATTGCAAGAAAACGATATAATACTTTTTCCAACAAGCCAGCGAATATCTTGTGACAAAATTCATTAAAATTTTATTAACAATCCTTGGCTATTAATTGAATACCTTTTAACGGTAAGTTGACTAAAAATCATGTTTCCAAGTCGCGCCGCTGCAAAAAGATTCCAGCTCGCTCACGATACCACAATTGCATAGGGGTACTGCTTCTTGTGTGGGGTTTTCTTGTTATAAAAAAAAGGCTGGTTTTTTTTACTGCAGCCTTTCGTCATAGTAAGGTGAGTATAGTAACGGGTTTGCTTAATTGACATCATCTGCTGCTGCTAACGGGACGAACGGGACGAACGGGACGAGCGATCGTCAACAAGTGAGACGGTCAAAAGAATGCTTGAGCTTTGAGGGGGGCTGACAGACCCTCGAACATATCAAGAATTCAAAGCGCCCCATTTTTTTGTCTCGGCAAATGCGGTAGTAATCAAATGAAAAATGAATAGTTTGTAAATCAAAAACGAATCACGAAAATCGTCGATCAATATGAGATCCAACGATCATTAGGAACATCATGCTTTCCATTGTGGTGCAACAGGGTTAGCAGAAAAAGGTAAAGTCTGCTTCAACTTCAGCCGATAATATTTCCTTTATTGGAAATTGATATTCCAATATCAAATTGATAAATTAAATAACATGACGTCTATTACTTTTTATTACTCTCTTATAGCACTTGCTAAAAGCATCGTTTAAACGGGAATACAAAACGCTGGGCCATGATTTGATATTTGTGAATGTTTGCGGCATCTGCATCATGCCCGGAACATGAGGGAGTACGAGCCCACGCTGGGTACCGAGCGTTTATGAAGTTTGTAACAGCTCTGGTGTTACCGTTAAAGCCGATCAGTTGATCTCGTGGTCGTGCGTAATGTTGGAAAAAAATTGCATTGACCTCGATGCGATACGCTCGTCGTCACAGGACGAGGGTCGTTGTTCATCAGTTTGCATACGACATTCTATTTCAGTAAATATTCACCCCCTCTGCTTAAGACTTAATTTTTTTTGTTATTGCACACAAAGTCCGATGACCGATACATGACTATTTCATAACAATAAGGTACGATGTTTGTGCCACCATCGGACATGCTTCAAGAAACTGGCACATGAGAGGGGGCCCGTATGTCACTTGCGTCCGGGCACTCTATGTATCCCCTTAAATATTATTGTGACTAACCATATATGGAAGGTTCGTTGTGTTAAATTGTTCCAAATAGAAGGTCGGACTACAGGTTACATAATAGGTAATTTGCCAAGGTCCGAAGGGCAACTTTAAAGAGACAACAAACACTATTAAGTACAGTTCACATGAGACAACAAAGGAGCAAACCCCAGGGTCAGGTAACCAGACTGTTTACTGCGTATGGATATGGTTTTACATGAATAATGGATAAAATTAGAAAACCCAATAGGAGAATACAAGACAGTTTTCGATACACATCTCCATATAAGCCATGTAGTCTATTGCGCGTGATCCGAAAGGGTGTCATACGGTTAACGCGACAATGGAAAATTGTTAAACAGTTCTCTTGTGACTCGTCTAATTTAATTTTGCATGATTTCTCATGCTCTGCTTTGTCTATGGGTTCGGATGATGAATATGCAGAGTTGCTGCGACAAGACAAACAATGACTAATTCGATTAAGGTTTGAGGCATTATTATTTCTTTGTGGGCCAATTTTCGAAAATTATATGCTTAAAGTGTTTCGTGACTAATATGTATATGTAAAAAAAAACCAAAAAACTTTTTTGCGGTACATGAAGGGGGATGTGTGTAGTGTGCATGAGGAAAAGGAATATATTCGACAAAGAAAGGATTGCAAGCTTGCAGAAGAACGTCGAGGAAAAAAACTTTCGAGTGATTGTTTGATAAAGAAAGATTATATCCCGCGGATCGAACGTCGGGCCATTTCCCGATTAATCATAATGTATGCGCATTTAATTATAGTAAATGCGATAAACAAGACAAAAAGTCATGCAATAATTTGCTGTAGAATTGTATTCGGATACTATAGAATACTCATTGCCTCTTATGAAGAATAAGCAATAGGAAAAAAAAGTTTATCCGATTGTGTTGTGTCTTCTCCGTTCTCCGTTCTCCCTGCTCCCCTGCTCCCCTGCTCCCCTGCTCCCCTGCTCCCCTTCGCCTACGCTCTACATCGAGTACTGCTTATCCGTATATCTACTTCCGTATTTGTAATAGCCATCATTAGTGGATACAAGGTTTTTTCGGACATGACGAACATTGATTACAATGTTTTCGTTTTTGCACTAACCAAAGTTTAAAAACCATGGACTTATGCAGTAACAAGTATATGATGGACATGGGATCAAGTTGTAACAGATCTGGATAAACAGATACACAGAATTCGGATCCACTGTTGTGGGTCCGTCTTCTAGTCAAACTCTTTTTTTTTTTCCTCCCCCATCCCAAAAAAAGATTAGGTGGAAATTAGAGGGATATTATCGATCCTATATTGTTAATATTGCCAAAGACTAATCAAAACGAAGATATTCGGATCTACCATATAACCAAACATATTGCCTATGATCGTCAAGCATAGATTTCGGGAAAATTCGGGAACATGTATAAATTGTAGTTGTTTTCAGTTTATCAAGAAAAGACGATGTTGTATTGATTTGTGTTGTTGTTATGATAGCGCGCGGGTTACAGGTGATCTCACACTGCATACCAAACATTAATATCTGCGTTCATTTGTTTGTTACATTGAATAGTCACGGTTGTAGTTCCTCGTCCCAAGTGCCTTTTTGTACGATTTGCCTAGTTATTTTCATTGGATTTTTATTGGTGCGTCCTCCTTATCCAAAAATACTCAATGTTTATTACTCTATTTATTTATTTATTTTCTCTTTCTCTTTAGTTTCTGCCCCCCTGATATTTTATTCGCCAAGTTTGGAACTTTGCCCCACACAGAAAACCTCCCCGGGCTTTTGCCAACCCTTTTTTTTTCTTTCCTCTTCTTCTTCGTTCATTTTTCTCCATACAATGTCTTATCGGTTACCAGATATCGCAATTTCTATCATTCCACGAAACTAATTGAATGGCTGTAATGCATAAAATCTGTGCGAATTTGCCCAATTGACTGTTGTTTAGACTGAGCATGTATGTACATTTCCTCTTACGGTTAGCCGCTGAAAGCTTATTAGTGTTATGCACTATGAGGACAGTGGAACTGTCATGGGACTGTCCAAGAAACCGCGAAAAGCAAAGAAATACAACAACGTTACATAATTGGTGGCACTCGATTGATAAGTATATCGAGGGTTTATGGACTGTGTGATCGGTTTGTTATGATAGAAGCTACCAATTTTAGTCTGCGCAAGTGGATTGGGTATCAATCACGTGGATGTAGATAACGAATACTCTCTTCTTAGTATGCAAAGGGTTGCAGTCTTTTTCTCGAGCCCTGTTGATAGATATCAGAGATTTTTACATCTTTTACGATGACGAGTGAATCCCCCTTCGACATGTAGTGTGTAGTTTATGTTGTATATTTACTTCCCTCATGCTTAGGATTAGTATCATCGATTGTATTATTCCCATGTGCTTGCGTAATTTTCGCTGTTCTTTGACTCTGGATTATACCAGTTTTTGAAATAAACCTATATTGAAACGATATGCAACGATAATCAATTATCACTTATCTCTTTATCTGACGGCGTTATTGTTTACCCTCTCTTTCAATCTTTTGCTTTTCTTCCCCCGTTCTCGCTACGATACCCATTCTCGTTCTTTCTTTCTTTCGCCTTTCTTTTTGCTTTCCATTTGTCTCTTTGTTTCAAGGCTTTTTTTTTCCCCGGGTATCTCATGTGCGCATGTGTGTGCTGTATGTGTGAGTATATGTGAGTATATGTGTTACCCCGTTCGAAGAATGTGACTTAAATTATGTGATTATGCAAAATAATAATATGTTGTTTCATGGTGCTGGGTAGGCCCAGGTATATCAATTCCCCCGAAAGCATGTATATTTAGCAAGTGATTAAATATTCTGTGCTCACATTATGCAATATAGATTATAAATCTGTCTCCCGTTTGAAGCTAAACTATATTGAGGTATCACCTGACCGTCTATAACCATTTTCTATCCGATAGGTCAAAGGCAGCCATTGTCGCACCAAACATATCCAACATATTATTTAGCGTATATAAAAAAAACATATATAAAGGGCGCAAAACCTACACTGATCGATCATCCCGCGTTCAACAAACTTCTCATACAATTGTAGCAAACAAATATTTTCCCAGTGCTTTTTAAACACACAATACTCTCTCGTATCCATCTATCTCTACATACTATCTTGATACTCTTGGACAATCGAGAAATTAGCAACCAAGCGACTACATCTACAACTACTCTTTGACAATCGAAAATCAGCAATGGCAACCATCAGCCCAGACAACGAATATCTAATCACTCTTCCGTATCCTCCCGAAATTTCCCCTACGGAACTTCTTTCTCGTAAAAAAAGCGGTCCGGGTCTTACCAAGACAGCCAACGCATTCTTTGTATATCGCAAAGCATACGTTAAAGAACTCAAGCGTCTTGGGAAGAGAATAAAGATGACTCAAATATCCGGGGTAATATCGTATTCTTGGTCTCGCGAACCCGAAAAAACTAGGAGTGCTTACAAAGACATTGCGGATGAAGCGAGCGAAATGTTCAAAAAGATAAATCCAACTCCAGAAAAACAACCAGTGGCAAAGCCTTCCAACGCAAGAGGAGTAGGAGGAGGAGTAGGAGGAACAACAACTGGCATTACTGCGGTCAAAAGTGATACAGCCACATCTGATACGATGATAACCCCAAATCAATTTAATGTGACCCTGTCTCATAATAATGTAGGTTTGCGCAAGTCACTGACGAAAAAGGAAATTGCCCAGAAATTTTCCAGGTATCAGCCATATCCGTTGGTGTATACGCCAGCATACTCATATTGTCAATCAGCTTCTTTCGAACAAACAATGCCGTGGGGCGGAGGGGAATTGGCCATGTTTCCCATCGAATTTCCGACATACGATACAAAGGAGCAGATTGAAACATTCGGCGTAGAACCCTTTTTTGATGCATCGTCAATTGAGCAATTACCGAGTGAACTGTCGAGTGGAGCAACTACATGCTCTCCCTCTCCCTCTTCGTCGCCTATTTCTTCCAATACTACATACATCACTTCTGATGGGGTGCAATACTATACTCCTTTTGAGAATGTAAATAATTTAAACAATTTACAATACTTTTCTGCGGTACCTGCAGTAGTACCTGCAGTATCGGTTAGTCAGACGGCATACGAACCAAACCAACTTTTGCTTCCGTATACAGGGGATATATCGGACAGTGTAAATTATATGATATGATAGAAATTAACAATGTATAGAGTAGCTATTGTTGATATATTGTTCTCTGAACATATAATATTTTTACTTTTTCGTATTATATACATTAATTGATTGATTTATATGCCTCATTATACGTCTATAGATTTTAAATTTTATTTATTTCTCTTTTACTTTTGTTTACTTTTTTTCTTTTTCTTCTTTTTACCTTTTTTTCCTTTTACGTTTCTTCTTCTTTTTCTTCTTCTGTCTTCTCTTCTTCTGTCTTCTCTTCTTCTTTCGTTCTTGCACTAAGGTAAAGAACGAGAGCTGGTATTCTTTGGATTGAAATTTTATGTCCTACTTCGTTGTATAGTATTTTAGTTTAAGATTTTTTATGTTTGTCCTTTCCTTTGTACATATAAGATTTAAATTTTTGAATAAACTTGTGAATTCTAAAGACAAAGAAAGTAAGCGATTGTTGAAGAACGTTCGTGCATAAGATACCTGACATTAATGAATCGCTTTTCCTACCGTCTCCCTTTCCCTCCTTCCCTCCTTCCCTCCTTCCCTCCTTCCCCTTTCCGCCTCCCTTGGCATGCTTCCAGATAAGGTTACTAAACAATGGGGCCCAAAATTCATATTAAATGTATTACATTTTCTAGATAAAGAGAGGATTATCTTGTGAATTTATTTAATTGTAGTATTCGTCTTGCTGCAGCGAATTGATTGCTACGATAAGCGTGCTAGATAATTACGATGTGCAGGCTTTTTCATATTCGGGATAACAAACACCAGACAATCCGCGGCAAAACAAAGCGGCGAATATACAATTGTGCGTTTTAAGGGTTTAACGTTGAGAAAGATAATAGTTAATTGGATAACCAGTAAGGTTAAGTTAAATTATTTACAGAGGGACAATATCACAGTGGATCCATATAAGGTATCAAGCAACATAATGTAACAAGGTCGAACACATGCTACGGCTCCATACATGTTTTTGAACCTTGGGACAGTCAACTTAATCAATCAGCCAGATGGGACCGCTTGGCGCTTTGTTGGCGGCTAATTTGGCGTCGAGTTCTTTGTTCTGCTACAAAAAATTTTCCTTTCTTCCCCTGTCTTGTTATTCATAGACATGTCGATTTCAATAACGATTGGTAACTGCAATTAATGTAACTCTGCCCAATGTCAGCGTTTTATGAATATAGTAAAAAGCCACCAATATGTAACCGCAAAATATGTACGGGGATTTACCTCTAAATTTGCCATAAAAGACGTTATGAAGAATGCCCAACAAATATTAGCCGACCAGCGTGGTAATCGTTCATACCCGGAATTATAATTGGTATTTCGTTATTTGCTTGCTATTTGCTTGTTATTTGCTTGCTATTTGCTTGCTATTTGCTTGCTACCCTATCCCACCCTATCCTACCCTATCCCATCCTGTCCTGCCCTGCCCAGCCCGGCCCAGCCCTAACAATACGCTAGAATGCCATCCTAATTAGCATAGTCTACCGTTCATCACTTAATCAACCTTAATTTCGATTTCATAAACTCAGTTTGCCACTCTTTTGCGTTGCACGCCCTTTCGAAAGACATGAAACACAACATCATCCCCCTCCCCATTCGTCTTTTGCCGCCGCCTTTTCAACTCAATATGCTCAACGTTTCATAAGTCCTTGGCATGTTTGTCGATCATCCCTAATCGGCAGATTCCATGCTTAATTTCATCATGAACATGCACCACCAAACCACATTACGAGATAAATTTGGAACGTATGCAACAGCTGCATTGTCTGAGAGTTGGTGTGTATTAGTAAATATTTATATTATGCTATTGTTGCAGCTAGTATTAGTATTAGGTCTGTTTGTGTCTCCTGCAGGAAAAATATATGCTACATCGTGCTCTCACGTTATTAATACCCCGCTCCCCTCCCCCTCCATGCTGAAGTATTACATCCCTGCCCGGATAAATTTATTTCCACATGATTCAATTCACTTTACTCTTTGGTGCCGTCTATTTCTGTATTTTCGATTATTGGCACCACATGAAGTGGATTTTGCATTGGACGGAGATCAGCGAAGCAACCAATTGGTTGAAAAAAAGAGAGAGAGAGAGAGAATGTGACGATATTATTATCAATTACATGAACAATCGGCATATTATTTTACGATTGACATACTAATTTACGATTTCTGTTATTTTTGATCCCTTATCTAGTAAGTCTTATGCAGAACGAATAGATTTGTTGGGGAAGGCGGACCAGAACATTTACGGTCCGAACCAGAACATTTAGGCTTACGGTCCGGACGGTATTATAATTATCGCATATTGTTACACTAACGGGTCGGTAATGAACGAAGCAACCCATTCGTCATTAGAAATTTAAACCACCGGAAATTATCTTGACCCTTACCTCATTTCGGTAAATTAAACGACTGCACACGGACTGGGCAGCAATTAACTGCACCCTTAGTTTGTAACAACAAGCACAAGTAAAATTCAAGCTAGCCTTAAAAGTTATGATACCCGTCATAATTTGAAAATTTTGGCACGCATGGACTGTGTATCGACGTATCAATATCTTTCACACCGATCATTAATCATTATGAAATATCGATTAACAACGGCAGCGTTGTAACGCCATAACCATAACCATAACCATAAACTAATTATTGTATGCCACAAAACATTTACTTGCAATTCGTACAAAACCTTGTTGCTAGAAAAAAGTTTAATACTCGCATAGTCCTATCAAGATTCCCAATGTTTTTGAAAAAGAAAAAGATGTAACAGATTCATGATATTTAATATGCAGTTGAATTTTTTATTAAAACGCAAGCTCATGGATGATCGTTAAATGTGTAAGACTTAAGTAATCATGGTACAGACCTCGTGTGCGAACATTACGTAAACATCAAGATGTCTTACTTACTAAACAGGGAATGCTTGTCTGACAGATAATATATCTGACTACTCTATTGTCCGTCTGGCCAAAACCCCCACCAAGCACGCTAAATCAAACATGTATCAAACCCTAATTGCCCGCTTCATATCGAGTTAGAGCGCTGACCGTTAATACCCAATTTCATATATCATAAACACCAATATAATCAAGAAGGGAACAAACCTAACTAATTTGCAAACTAAGGAGTGAGAGACCGTGATGATCAAGCTAATGTTGGATGAGATGAAAAGAAAAAAAAGAAAAAAGAAAGAAAGAAGAGGTTTGATATTAGTGGAAACGAACCAATGTGTTTTACGGAGGTTTCCGATTTCCGTATTACGTGATACGGAGAAAAAACCCACGCCTATTACTATTACAAAATTACGTATTGCTTATTCGTCATTGGTTCATGAACCAAATTCAAAATGTCGATATTTTTTTTAAAACCACAACCGTGTGTCACCTGTCGTCGTCTCACAAATCTAAACAACAAGAGAGGAAAATCGAAATACGATCATCTTTATGAGGATTGCGACATAAAGTTTTAATTACGAAAAATGAGCTTTATGAACTTTTTTGGTGGATAACCATTAAAACGGAAACAAGGGATCCAATAACAACAGATTGACCGTATATTGTAATAATTAATTTAACGATGGCAAATTCTTTGTCAACAGAAAGAAAATTTAATCCCCCTTTTAGTATGAACAACTGTTCTGATGTTTGGGGGAGGGGGGAAAAAAGGTATGCAGTGGCGTGTAACTTTAATAACATGTTTATTCGGCTAGCATGTAGAACATTGCGCAATTCTTTCAATTACAGATCACTTAATATTAATGCAATCTACTACCAGAAAAAGTGAGTATAATATTTCAATGTTTGAAAACTGCCAAAGCACCTACCACAGTATGGATTTTTGATCGGTCACAAATTAAAATAAATTAATTAAAGCAAGTACAAACAAATTATTATTCAAGGAAATATTCTAGAATAGCAGGTCATAGTAATAGTACAGTATATATGACCCCTAGTCTTTCCAATTAGCTTGCATTTTACAGAAATTTAGCCGAAGATCTGAATCTCTGTTTTACTGACTTGAAAAATTCAACAAGGTTGAAGGAGATTTAATTATTGAAACTGGGAATCGGGTATATTTGGTCAAGACTATTGGAATACAAGTCTTTAAATCAATACTTCGATCCTGAGTAATCAAGTAAAGAAAATTCTGTGTAAACCAGATTACTAATTTTATCGGATGTTATTCTTTAATAATTTTCTTTCTACTACTATGTACGACTGTAACCAGATAATCAAAGAGATATAGGACTAATTCGATTTTTTTGCAACATAAACTTTTTATATGAAAAGTTTGATATGTTGTGGGACCCGTCTCAGTTCGGAACCCAGTCACTCGGTCTAGAACTAGCCGTCTCAGTCCAGAACTGAGTGATTCTCGAGTGGCAGTACATTGATTCCACTTGGTCATTATTTCTAAGTTCCAAATACTTAATGATGATGTCTATTACTACTAATTTCTATAATGCATAGTGAATTAACATTAACCATACTGTATCTTCTATTTGAATAATATAAAATTATCCCAAGTCATTATTATTTAAAGATGACTGCATCTAAAAACGTATAATTGCATGGGAAGAATTAATGAGTGTGCCCAATTTTTTGTACAATTCAACATTATTAATCACATTATTACTTTTTCTCACACCCCCCTCGTGAGATTTGTATTACGGACGCTGCAATAACTTTTCGTTCAAATAAAAGTTTCGGTTCTTTGGTCGGACAATCGTTTTACAATGGTTTAATATTAATATCTGACGAGTAAAATTGTTTGTTGGCATCTTTTTTTTTTATTACTAATGCTCTCGAATTATAGAGTTAATTATGCCTTTGTTCAAGCAAATTTATATTTAGTCGTCAAGACGCGTGGCGTGATTATTCTAAATATAAGTATTGGTGCTGGCTTGATTATAAAGTCTTTGTCTATCATTATATTAATTGCACAAGGTTGCGACGCATATTAATATTTTAGGAAGTGGCTGCATTCTTGTTACTAAAATTTATGCGTTTCGTAAGTGACACCATCAACGCCCTACATTTAATGCATGCAAATTTATGCATTATTTGTCAACATTTTTAAAACGGTTTATAGTATACAGTAACACTGCAAGAAAGACAGATTTAATGAAAATTGGTAGATGAGACTTATCTTGTGACTGTAGTGTTGGCGCCGCTGCTCAGGTTACAACGTTCCACAATTTTATTAACCCATTGAAGCATACGCGAACAATTAAGAATGCACATTCCCCAATGACATCAAGATTATAGGCAAAGCCCTATGGTACATGAGCATAGTTTTGATAAAGCGAATATTCACTTTTGCCATTAAACAGCACAATGCGTGACAAATCTAACGAACAATAAATCATTTGATTGTGGGGTGCAAAATTAGCGTTCGCTTTAATTAAGGCGTTGGCTAATGTTGAAGGTAACTCTGTATAAATTTCCCTATTGCCAGAGTATACATACTCTCTGTGCTAACCCACGATTAAGCTATACTAAACAAATAGAACATTTTATCGTTATAGTGCTAGGCTCAAAATGATGTAAATTTTTAATACTTAACATTAATTCTCGAAAAAAACTATTCTCTCAACAATGGGCATGCCACTATCAGCTTGCGAACGAGAGAGAAGATACGTGAATAACGAAAGGGGAAGTAGTCCGCAAAAAGTTGAGCATTTTGTAGGTTAAATCGTATTTTACGGGAAAATGCGAACGGTTGTACCAATTATGTTTTTAGTGAATTGAACAAGTAGGGCTACTCGCCCTCTACTTTTACTATGAAGTGAATTATCAAATTCATAATTATTGTCGCTTTTAGCACTTGCGGGCTTGCCACGTTTCGCATCACATAAAGAATTCTCTTTGCTTCAAAAATGATTATAACGCGAGCACTGTTCAGTCAAAACTTCTCTTGAATTAATAATATTATTGATTTGAGTAGCTTTGCCTTTACATAATTTCTCTGACTAAAGTACCCACCCCCCGGAGCAAAGTACCCTTCAGCAATTTCGAGGCCTGATTTTGTAAAAGACCCGGGTACTATTTTCGAAAAGATTAACACTATCGAGTAAAATATCCAGATGTCGTATGTAAATCCCGTCACTATGTAAATCCCGTTTGGGAGTCCCTAAAAACCGTAAATCTGGGGATTTACATACAACATACCCTCCTCCCAGTGAGAGAAATACAGTAGTTCTTATTATTTAGTTTGCATATCTAACCTCCTTCCCTGACATAACACTAAAGCACGAATTGAGACATGTTGGGTGGGATCCAGACCAAGAGAGCAAGATTTTTTGGCTATCTATTTCGATGATGGAGGGGAGGGTTTGACTTGGGTTTGACCTGGGTTTTTCTCTGGGATTGCCTTAGCCAGCATTTTTCCATCCGGTTGTGATTAGTTTAGATCCTTTAACGGTCCTCATAATGTCAATGATTTTGACTTGGGGATACGTGATAAGGGCAGTGGATGGGAGTTTCCCTTTAGGAGAAGGATAGGGATATTATGGTCTCCGACTTGGAGGGTTCCTTGTTCGATGAAGTTGTCGGCCTCCATTGTTTCCTCGAAGAAGATTTGGATTCGTGTCGTGCAGCATAGACTTCTCTCCCATCGAGGTCACTTTGAAGTCTAGAAGGCAGATGTGGGGTCTGCTGCTGGTGTATCCTAGTGAAGGAGGACGACGGTTGGTTAAGTGCGTCCCCCAACTAAAAGTCTCGAAGACCCTCTTGAACTTTGGGGCCTTCGGTTGGGACAGGGACATCTGAGTCGGTGTCCATAGGAGTGCTAGAAGAACTTTGGGTAGACATTGTTAGTAGTTTATTATCCTTAAACAGCGATTTTGATTTGTAGAGGCGCGGCGAAAAGTGTACGGAGGAAAGAATGGTGCAAAGGGAAAAGCACAGATTGAGAATGCAAAGAAGACCATGTCAACATGCCGATAGTAAACACGATCGCGACACACAGCGTGTCTTTCGGATGACAATTCATCAAGTTTAATCAAGAATGGCGATCTGTGGTGTAGCATCAGGATAATGAGTAGCCGCACAACCAGCGAAAGCGATTACGTGGTTGAAAAGCATAATTCGCATATATTTCATAGTGTTGTGTAGCCGAAAAAATCAAGATGAAACCTTCGTCTAATTTTTATAAGTACGAGTCTCTACATACGTCCACGTTAAGTAATATTCATTGTAGGGTAATGTCTTGTCTATAACAACACAAGATCGCCGGCTCGGGCAAGCTTCCAGCTCGTTGTTCAACTATGAATGATTCTATAAGATAACTTTGCGCAAATTGAAATAGATAACCCAAATCCTGCTCGTCCGTTGCAACTAACAATTTGAGAATCTGAGATCCATCACACTTGTCTATATTCACTTCTACCGTATACAGATATCTATCACGAATAGCATATGAAATTAAATTCTCAATCCAATTGAGAATGTCTGGGCTGTTCTATCATGAAATGCGCAATATATTGTGCAATATAATAGTGTCTGGTGTCGCAGTATTTTCGGAAAATAGGTCCGACAGAGCGTATTGGGACCGAGTGAGAATAGGTTGAGTAGAAATATCAAGATCTTGACCATGAATATTTGGTGAAGCGTGATGTGTGCTGTGCTTATCCTTTCACCTCCACGTGCGAGAAAGAAAAGGAACGGCTATTCCTTTGTATTAGTCGAACATTATTATATAAACAACTGGGAGAGCATATTGTTCCGAAGGAATGTTCTATCAAACACTTGATGATGTATGAAATCGTGTGATACTCAGCCGCATCGTTGGCCATGACAAAAGCACTCCTAAGAGTCTCCTGAATTGCTCCTTAATATCTCTAAACTCTGTCGTAAATCCTGTATCAAGTTATGTTGGCATTGCGGATCGGTGATTCGTAATCAAATAAATATCCAAAGCGCAAAAGTGACCAAAAACCTTTCCTTATCGTAATCACATCATCAGCTAGAATACCAATAAAAGTTTGGCGTGATATCAACTATCCCTTCCACGGTGTCGTCGTATGGCAGTAGATTCGTCCAGGCTAGGTGTACACATGAATCAATGTGGCTATTTCACATTGGTTTTGTTGCAGATGCTTCGTATGTTAAAGATGTTAAAGTCTGACATTGCACGAATTGATCGCTTGGTTTAACAGGCAATGTTCCCCTTGTAAACTGCTTAGCGATCCATGTTGATAATGACCAGATAACCGGTTGAGAGAAATTTAGGATATCGTCTTATGAAACGTAGGGCTTCCTGATTCATAGAATACAAAAGTATTCAAAGTTAATGAATTAAAAAACTTGTACATTATCGAACTGGTGTTTTAAGCTGCCTTGATTGTCTGTCAGTTGACTTGTGTTTCCGAAAAAGACAGGTTGTTCGATTTTTACAAAGCTCGTCGACGGGTCCACAGTTAAAAACCGTCACATGCGTGGGAATAGCGACGGGCGGTGTGTACAAAGGCGGGACGTAATCAACGCGAGCTAATGACTCGCGCTTACTAGGAATTCCTCGTTGAAGAACAATAGTTGCAATGCTCTATCCCCAGCACGATGAAGTTTCACAATATTACCCAGGCCTTCCGGCAAAACTCGCCGACTTTATCAGTGTAGCGCGCGTGCGGCTCAGAACATCTAAGGGACGACCGTTCGTGAGAACAACCTGGCTATTTAGCAGGTTACGGTCTCGTTCGTTATCGGAATTAACCAGACAAATCACTCCACCGACTAGGAACGACCACTCTCAATCTGTCAAGTGTTGACCTACAAAACGTGTGAGAATGTTCGGTTATAATTGACATGCAATAAAACTTTTGAAAATTTCTGTTCTCGAACATACCACATTCCAATTCTCATCCCAATCGGCCAAGCACTACAGACCAGTTGTCAGTAATTTCCTCTCTTTGTTCTCATACGCGGAACCTGATGCTCTACATTCTCCACACCTGAAATCGTCTTCAACGTTCTTCTTGTCTCCTCGATGTCAACGTCACTTTTCTCACATTTTACAAGAATTGCATCCTTCAATTCACCGATTTGTCCAACATAATCTATTTTATCTGGGAGGTTAGAAATCAAGTTCTCGAGGGATGAGACAGAGAAGAGGGTGACAGCAAAATAGTGATACGAGTCGTAATCAAGAGCATGCGGCGCGCGAGTTGTCGACATCGTGTGAGCTTTTGTAAATAATGATAATACTGTATTTAATTTGATGTGGCTAGTGAGATCAACAAAGAGTGGCTTGGTAATTGAAATGAAATGACGTTTCCTAAGACAAATTTCACATCTTTGTTCCGGAAACTGGAGATTTTCCATCCACCTAATACTAAGATGGTAGAACAATGACCCCCAAAAATTGAATGGGTAAAACCCGGGTTTTGCAGGCTTGTTGTAAATATCTTTAAAGGCAAATTATTAATACTAGCACTGCGGCAATTGATGCTCTTATCAGGTAAGCTTAAGTTTTTTACATTCTGCTGGGAAAAGTTTCATAAACAATAGAAACCTCATGAAGCGTCGTGTAACGGCACTATTTTAAATAAAAAGGGGGTTTCAAGCTTACTTATCTGTGGCGTAGTTATGATTACTGTATATTAATATACGCAGCATTACGTATTTATTCGTCCAGCTGCATATACCCGGTTAATGTGTGCGCTTGACTGATATGAAAAACAACCGATTCATTACGTATCTGCGCTTGGAGAGGTGGGTGCAACCATAGCTTCCACCATTAGTTTCCAACATCGTTCGTGAAAGCATAATAATAACGCTGACAGTGTCATGTACGACGGTCCACGCGTCGATCATACGATTGTCAACACAAAAACAGTTAAATCATTTATCAACAAATAGGAAACATACATTTTTGTAAATCAGAAGTGCAACACGTTGGATATTGGAATGTTTATCATTCAAAACAAACGACTTGTACTTGTGAGTGAATAAAACCAAGCGAAACCGAGTTTAGTCTAATACGGCCCGAATGGTACAATTGCTATTTACTTTGCGTATATTTAGCACAATACGTGAGTCTGATTGTGTTTATTTAGGAGCATTTTCTCTGCTATTGGAATGTCGGAACAAATACGGATTATCCAATCTCCTAATCTGCCATGACAATAACTACACGCAAATGACAACAGTCGATTGAGAGATATTAATAAACTTCTATTTCTCTTTCTCTCCCACAAATCATGTGATTTAGCGGGGGTAGTTCTGTACATTGTGACACTGTGTTCCAGACAAAGGCTTTTAGCTAGAACCTATTCGTAATATTTGATGCAACAGCGCTTCAGCCGATAAATGGTTTTACATTACCTAATTGTGTACCAATTGCACATTGCTTTCCCGAATGAGCAGCTCAAAGAAATCTTGTTTTATAAATAGACATAAAGTCGAACGTTTTCTTCCCTACATCGATATCTCGCATCAATACTTATTGACATTCCCAAACATTTACATATCTAACAATGTCGCCAGCAAGTATGATCGATGCACGTGCCATTAATAACGACACGCCTACAGACTTTAACGGGTTCATCGGATCCTCATCTGTCCGTAGTGGTTGGGATGCCCTCTTTAGTCTTTGGACAATATGGGCTTTGCAATGGTGAGTTAGTTGTAGACAATCAAAATTAAGAGCTAAGAAAAATACTAACGATTTATACTTAGGTTGTTGCGAGAATATTTGGGACGGTCGACCAAAGGTGGTAAAGATGGTGATGAAACGACTACGGAAAAGTGTGCTCGCGTTAGTATTAGTATACATTATTTCTATATGGTTATATTTGATATACCTACGCACATAGACTAACCTACCTGCATTTTCTTGTCTCTTGATAGAGAGCAAAGGGATTTAAAAAGGCTCACAAGCTTGCTACCCAATTGTTGGTGGGTCTCCTCTCCGCCTTGACTTTCAACAGTATGGCTCGCGGTTCGGGTACTGCGGTCGAAATATGTAGTTGGATATACTTTGGAACGAGTGCAATCTGGGTGCACTTAACGCATTTTGGGGGGACGAAAAGACATCCAATTATTAGAAAAATTGGTGTTACGGTTCAAACTAGTCTTTTACTTGTCATCTTCATTCACGCCTTTATTGGTCGAGTGATGGACTAAGCGACCTGCGTGGTACAACACATGAGCAGCTCGTATCAATCTTTTTTTGTTGTTGTTGTCAATATCTGAACACTATTCACTTGGGAAATATCATAATAATAAAGCTTGGATTTTTTATTGGTTCAATTAGAGAGTAATTCAATTTCATACCAATAACCGCGATCTTTAATATTTGGTGGAAATGGAGATCATAAATTGTGGACAAGAAAGTCGAGCACGTCCTGTTGTCAAGAGAGGTATCAAAGGAGAGATAAGCAATCTCAAACGATCAATAAATTGAAGGTTGGGATTTCTCTGCCATACAAGTCTTTTGATTTCGAATCGGTGCTGCACACAGTGGACCTCTATGTTAATAGCTCTTGGTGAAACTACCGTCTTTCGCACTATACCCTGCGGCAATTTTGAACGCCAAATTTTGATTTATACCCGGGTATATGTTGCGGTATTCTTCCGGCATATATGACTTGTACCCTCTTCTAACTTGCCAATAAAAACTGCGAATTAAAATTTAACACTATAAGATGCATTCCCAAATATTATCATCTCCGACACATCTTATGCGAGTTATAGAATCCACGAGGCCATATACTAATTCAACACCGGGAGACATAAAAGAGGTTACCTGTAATCACAATCGAATTTTAATGTTAATTCGAAGTTCTTACTTTACAGTATTTATCTAATGCGTTAATTCTAGGAAATCTGGAATCACTTTATCGGCAGCCAATAGAATTTTAGAAAAACAAATCGAGATATGTACCCACTATCACTACGATGTACCCCCATTACATGAGTACCCTGAACAAAGGGTACACATAGGTGAAATACGGTAATTCATTGCAGCGCAACACATTAGTCCGACCTGTTAATTGTACAGCATACCCTATGTTCGTCGCTGCCTGTCAACCATACTTGTAGCTTTGTTTTCGTCGTTTTGATATCAAATACTAATATTTCTGATCAGAAACTCCTGCTAGAATAGTTCACGTGACGTGGATGTCTGTTGAATAATGTGACACGTTTCTCGATATTGATTCAATGTGCTTGTTTCCAATGTCGTGTTACTAATTGCATTCTTTATTTCGCAATTTATTGTTAGTTACATTTCTACGCGACCTATGGGATAAATTCGCCTTTTTCTCTTTGTTCCCTTAAGAGTTTTATTTACGGGGGAAGACTTTACAGTATGTCTTAATTTATAAAATGTAGACCAATATGTGTTGAATTCACCTATCGATATTGACGCATTTATAATTACATATTTCACATGATAGAATCGAGCATGTTACACCATCGCCGAACTTAATTGTAGCAACGAGTTGTCTCAACCTCAGCTTCATTAGTCAAATCAACGCGCGACAAAATGATCGGGCCGACCTCCTTGTCGATAGTGAATGCAGTCAAAAGAAAGCGGCAACAGCAACGACCTGTACAGAAGACAACTCAAACTACGGAACGTGAGAATATGAAACAACAGGATAAAGACACGGAAGTGGTCAAAGAAGAGCAACAGATAGAAGATCAGGGAACACGTAAAAGAGGGCGACAAGTCAAACAAATACAGCAGACAGAAAACCAGCAGCCGCGTAAGAGAGGGCGGCCGGTTGGTTCCAAAAACAAGCCGCGAACAAATGAGGAGAATATCAAAAAAACAACCAGAACGCGAACAAGAACACGAGAACTTGTGACGACAGAGGCGGCAACAGCAGCAACCCCCACCGCTACGACCGCTGCCACAATAACAACAACAACAGCAGCAGCAGCAACAGCAACAGCAACAGCAACAGCAACAACAACAACGACGGCAGCAATGGCGGCGGCGGCGGCGGCAACAACGACAACGATAGCAACAGCAACAACAACAACGGCAGCAGTAACGGCGGCAACAACGACGATGGCGGCAACAAAGACAACGATGGCAGCAACGGTGGCGGCAACAACGACAACGATGGCAGCAGCAGCAACAACAACAGAAACGAAAACAGCTGGGACAGAAACAACAGAAACGAAAACAGTTGGAACAGAAACAATAACAACAACGGCAACAGAAACGAAAATAGAAACAGAAACGGTAACAGAAGCTGCTATCGCTACTGCTACTGCTACTGCCACAGCAGCAACAATGACAGAACCTTTGTCAGGTCATGCTCTTTCCTTACCACTATTATCTGTAGTTCCATTTTCATCATGTTCATCCGAATTATCGTCTCTGCCGTCACCGTTATCAACTGCATCCTCACCATCGCGAGATCCAAATGTTTTTTCATTCTCTGCTACATCTCTACCAGAATCTCCGACTATCGCATCTCCTTCAACCTCGATCGAACAGTCTTCTGGAATGACACGTGTAAAAATGTTACTAAGTCAGATGGACAACATGTCACTCGGTTACTTTGGGAAACTAGTCGACGATAATTACGACGAGGAATGGATGAGTGAATGTTGTTTGACTGATCTGCACGGTCAGCAGAATCAAATGGAGCAACAGCCTTCTTTGCGTGGTTGCTATCCAACATGGTCTCATCAAGACGAATGTGAATGGAAAGCATGGATGCAAGAAGTAGAAGCTGAAATATCACGCAAATGCCTCGATAGTGATGGTACAAATAAGGCACAAGAGATGCTGGAGATAGTAGGGAACATGGACATATTGGAAATCAAACAATTTCTTAATTTGTTGAATGAATGTTGGGTATAAACAATGTAATTTATGCATTGAATTAAGAAAAATGAGGATTTTTTTGTGTGGTGAATGTGACGAGAATGTTAATGCTAGTGTGAGATAGGGAATTTAGTATACAATTTGGTGTGAACTATGTGAGTAGGAGGGGGATGGTTCATGAATGAACTTTAAGGTAATAGCTGTAACAAGATTTATCAAGCAGAGGTTAGTTTTAAGATTTCGCTTGTGTGAAGATTTTAAATGGTATCACACTTGAGTGATTTTAGTTGTTATATTACAAAACGTCACTATATTGATTGTGTATTGTGTTGTAAAAATGGTTTCTCTATTATTATGTTTGCAAAGAACAGATGATATCTCATCAACCAATTGTAGAATAAAGTACAACTTGTGATTATTCAGAAAGGGTTTGCTTTGTGGTTTTGAATTTAATGTTTGGTTTACTGTGTTTTATGATAAGGCTACGTTAATGATGACGTTATTCCTCCTTAATTCTTAACTCCGATAGTGTCACAAGAATTTCTGATCATGTGTTGCCACTTTCACCGTAATATTCGCAGTCGTACATTCACAAACATTTATCGATTAAATATAAGAAGCGCGACTTTAATATGGTTTTTTATAATTTTGGAAAGTCTCTAGATCGGTCATTTGTTCCAATTACGCTATTCACTTCGCCTCAAGGATGGAAGAGAAATCTCCTGCTCATGAAGCGGGCGTATTAACCTTAATTTGCTAGGTGAATGTCACTACCGCCAACAGGCAATATCCTTCATATCCTGTAGCTTACCGATCCTCTTTTGTAATATAACCTGAGTTTCGGCTGAAATACATTATTCGTCCTCTGGTAAATTATTCGATATAGTCGAATCACTAATCCATATATCGATTAGGAAGAAAGTATTCAACTTTATGCGTGACAATAGAAAAAATTTTATATCAGTTTGTAGCTTAGGTTATCTGCATGTAAGTTTGAATTTTGGAATAATGAGTTAATCAAAAAAGCTAATTGCAACAAAATTCAACTTCTATTTAGTATTGAGTTAGATGTCCATTATTCGAGATACATGTCTTAAATAATATCTTAATACGTTTTTTGTGCCACTGAGATCATTTATTGCTACATTCTAAATTATTTACTCAATCAGGTAATTCGAACGAAGATTACCTGGAGTTAACTTCTCTGAAAATCAAAAACTAAGAGTAGTTGAGTTAGTGATGATGACTTACTAACCTTCTCAATCCTGGTTCTTGTTCTCATGCCGACTACGAGGATATTAAACAAGCTGAAAGGGCAATTTTCTATGTTTAATTCTTCCAACACTCCTGGGAAAGCGTTCTCGTTCAAACTTTGACCGGGGAATATTCTCAAAATTTAGTATTATTTTATTTCACAATATCACAACATTATAACATTCAACATGAATATTTGACGATGGAAGAAGAGCTACTTATATATCTTTTCTGTCACAAGAAAAACGACACGTTTCTATATAAATTATTATATTATGAAGAACAATTAATTTTAGCGTTTGTGCTGTCACATATTTTGCGACACGCTACTAAATTAATATCTGTATTACTAAACTAAAATTAGTGCCGATCATGGGTTTGTTTAACTGCGGAGGAAGATTTTATCATGTGACTAACTTATCTGATTCATCAGATCAGCTTGCTGTAACACTTGCATTGCATACTTCTAAATTGCGAAATCAATTACGTTGGCTTCAGTAAGTTCCAAGTTATGTTCTCCAAATCTATGCAAGAACATGCTGATGCACAATATGGTCTTGGTTGGTATTATCAGCATGGAACTGGAGTAGAAGCAAAAACAGTTGAATGGTATCAAAAAGCTAAACAAGGATGTGCCTTGGCACAATACAAACTTGGTTGGTGTTATCAGCATGGAACTGGAGTAGAAGTAGATGAACAAAAGGCAGTTGAGTGGTATCTAAGAGCAGTTAACAGGGACATGCTAAGGCACAATATAATCTTGGTTGCTGTTATAATATTGGAATAGGGGTAGAAAGAGATGAACAAAAGGCAGCTGAATGGTATTTCAGCACAACAATACAGGGATATGCTGGTGCACAAAATAATCTTGGTTGGTGTTATCAGTATAGAAGAGGAGTGGAAAAGAATGAACAAAAGGCAGTTGAATGGTATCAAAAAGCAGCTAAACAGGGACATGCTAAGGCACAATACAACCTTGGCTGGTGTTATGATATTGGAATAGGGGTAGAAAAAGATGAACAAAAGGCAGTTGAATGGTATCAAAAAGCAGCTAAACAAGGAGTTGCTAGGGCACAAAATAATCTTGGTTGCTGTTATCAATATGAAGCTGGTGTGGAAAAGGATGGACAAAAAGCGGTTGAATGGTACCAAAAGGCAGCTGAACAAGGGAATGTTGATGCACAAAATAATCTCAGTTTGTGCTATCAGTATGGAATTGGAGTGGAAAAGAATGAACAGAAAGCAAATCTGCTACGCCAAAAGGCAGATGAAGAAGGATACATTAAGGCACAAAATTTGATTTATTTTAACATATAATGATAAAAAGTAAAGTTATAAATAATTAAGTTAATTGTATTAATGCAAAAACTGACGGAAAACTTTTATTCCATGTAGTTGGTAAATTAATTGTAATAGCCGATTTTGCTATTTATTATGGAATTATTTGATTTGTCAAAAATTCACTTTGGATCGGGTGACAAGTTGGGGTATTTTGCAGCGCTAAAGTGATAAATTCGAATGGTGATATAAAATTCATTATATAAACAACCTTGGAAAAAGTAAGCTGGTTACTGTTGAAAGGTAAAACTGAAAGTGGACTACTCCCTGGGGTGGCTTCATCTCTTATGATATCCGTTATTTATTATTGGAAATTTTGTTGTATTATTGTTATCATGTTTTGTCTTTTATTTTGATACCGATACTTTGATATAAGAATCCTAGTGACTAACCCTAATTGATGTTACATTGTAAGATTAACAAGCGTATTCGTTATCATATAATTCTCTGAGTTGATACTTTGCATGTAAGAATCCTTGCAATTAACAAACCGTAGCTGAGTATTCGATCATTGATACTTTGTCGTAAGATCTTGGCGACTAACAATCGAGGCGTGAGAAGTATTTGATTTAAGAAGACTGCGACTATAAGACCTTGTGTTTAATACGTTGTAGTAAAAACGATGTATAGCACCGAGAGTTTAATATACTCGTTAAAAGATTGATACTCAATTGATACAACAAAAAGTTATTGTAATTATTTCGTCAATGAGGGCCAAAATGTTTGTAGAGTAATGGAGCCATAGAGACACGAAGCGAAATACGGATACTCTTGATGAAAATCCAATAAGAGCATTACAATAGAAAGAGAAATATTAGTTGGAAAAGTTGGAAAATTACGTATAATATTGGATCGATTGCTAACGAAGTTTATGACAAAATCTAGTAAGCAAGGTGGTTACAATTACGGTGTTGGATTTCCTATTAGATATTCATTTCAGAACAAGAGTTAAAACCCCAGTCTTGTTTGAACCATTTTACATGAGCAAAGTTGAACTTACAAGCGTCGTTTTATAACTAATTTCTAACTAGCCCAGTATAATTAATCCAATAAAAATACCTGGCAGTTTTTCGGACGTTAGAGCTGCGGAATGATCATCCTGTACTACTCTATCAGCAATCATTTGATCATTCCGCCGCCGTTTACACTAGCACTGCGAGAAAATGTATAGACATGTTTCCATAAAGAGCATGATGCTAAGGTGTATTCTCTGGGGTTAATTATTAAGTGCTACAGATTCATTCTATCCAACATTATATTTATCAATAACAGACAGGTTTGCATTTTTGACTTTAGTATTATTAGTATTACGCTTTTTCTATTTCCTGTCCTTTCTTTCTTGGTCCATCATAAGCTGTATCATTTTTCATTCATAATAAAATTTTTATCGCAAGAACTTTGGTATTGTTACGAATTCGCACTTCCGTTGGGGTTTGGGAGAGCATAATTTATCTGTGTTTGCAAACCGGGATCGTTTAGAGTTTTCTCATGTTGTTGCTATTCACCCACCGCGCGTGATTGTGTTATTATTATTAAATAATCCGATTTGTAGACACTTAGAATAATAATAAAGGATCGTATTCTGTTCAGGAATGTAATATTATTTCAACGTTTTATGAAAATGAAATTATGACGATGGAATTTTACCATGTGACTTGCTTGATGCACATCAGATTGCATCACATATTGATATCACAGTATCTGTGGGAAAATATGCACTAGAAAGTTCAACTTTCAACCAATACTAACCAATTGTAACAAAAATGTCATCCACTACTGCTATTTCTGGGAATGATAATGAGCCAGTTCCAAGTAATGTTATCCAAAACTATGCAAAAGTAGCTGAACAAGGAGATGCTGATGCACAAATTGGAGTAGTATTAGAAAAAGATGAACAGAATGCATTTGATATTGAATGGTATCAAAAAGCAGCTAAACAGGGACATGCTGAGGCACAGCACAATCTTGGTTGGTGTTATGAAAATGGGATTAGAGTACAGAAAAATGAACATAAGGCAGTTGAATGGTATCAAAAAGCAGCTGAACAAGGACATTCTAGTGCACAATTTGATCTTGGTTGGTGTTATCAACATGGGATTGGAGTAGAAGAAAATGAACAAAAGGCAGTTGAATGGTACCAAAAAGCAGCTGAACAAGGAGATGCTGATGCACAGTATAATTTTGGCTACTGTTGTGATAATGGAATTGGAATAGAAGAAGATGAACAAAAAGCAATTGAATGGTGTCAAAGAGCAGCTGAACAAGGACATATGATTGCACAATTTGATCTTGGTTGGTGTTGTGAAAGTGGAACTGGAGTGGAAAAAGATGAACAAAAGGCTGTTGAATGGTATCAAAAAGCTGCAGAACAAGGATTTGTTGGTGCACAATTTAATCTTGGTTGGTGCTATGAAAGTGAAACTGGAGTAGAAGTAGATAAACAAAAGGCAGTTGAGTGGTATCAAAAAGCTGCTAAACAAGGACATGCCAAGGCACAATATAATCTTGGTTGGTGTTGTCAGCATGGAATTGGAGTAAAAAAAGATGAACAAAAAGCAGTTGAATGGTACCAAAAAGCAGTTGAACAAGGAGATGCTGATGCACAATATAAACTTGGTTGGTGTTATCAGCATGGAACTGGAATAGATAAAAATGAACAAGAGGCTATTGAATGGTATCAAAAAGCAGCTAACCAAGGAAATGCTAGTGCTCAATTTAATCTTGCTGTATGTTATGATTGCAGAATTAGAATTGGAGTAAAAGATGAACAAAAGGCTGTTGAATGGTATCAAAAAGCAGCTGAACAAGGACATGCTAGGGCACAAAATAATCTTGGTTGCTGTTATCAATATGGAATTGGAGTGGAAAAAAATGAACAAAAAGCAGTTGAATGTTACCAAAAGGCAGTGGAACAGGGAAATACTGATGCACAAAATAATCTTGGTTTGTGTTATCAGTATGGAAGAGGAGTAGAGAAAAATGAACAGAAAGCAACTAGGCTATATCAAAAGGCAGCTGAAGAACAATACATTAAGGCACAAAGATTGATTTATATTAACATTTAATAATTAAAAACAATGCAAAGTACTAGTATAAACATTTATTATATGATAAGTAGCGGTAAATAATTATCATATAACATGGGGATAAATTAAAAATTTCTGGAATTTCAAACTTGCTGATTAATTTATTGTAAATGACAACGGATTAAAACTTCTGTAATAATTATCAATAAATAAACTTGTATTTAGATACCATAGTGAATGAAGTTGCAAGTTTATTTGGTGGCGGCGAAGGAATTGGTGAGCATCGAATTATGCTACTTTCAAAGTTCTGCGAAATAACGAAATACGTTTGCGAGCCGGCCATATCTATCAAGCCTTATTACTATTACATGTTATACTTGGCTTAAGAAACGACCATGACCGATTACATATATAACCAATTATGAAACAAACGTATTAATCCGCTAGCTGTACATACGGAAATCCATCCGCTGATGCAGTAACGATGTTTGTATAATATCAGAACATTGCTACGACGCCAAATCTCTTCCGCAAAATTCTACTCACATAATGTCTTGGGTATCTTGTAAGTCAACCTCCAATTAATTGCGAAGAATCTCAATGGCGACTAGGGAAAGGTACGAGCAGTATTGATATTACAATAACAATATCTCAAGACTTACAGGCAAAAGTTTATTAAAACATCATCATTTGAATTCATATTTCAAGCAAGACCTAAATAAAGGAAAAGAGAGGGTTCATCTATATGAAACAAAGATGTCGAGGATAAAAGCAATCACGGCACACCTTCGTATAGACGAGACCGAACCAGCAAGCCTGCCACAAAACAATCGAACACCTGTCAGCGCTCAATCCGCGACTACCTCACCTTATCTTCAACAACAATTCTCATTTTGGACTGCTACCATCTCATTCTAGCTGCGTCTAAAGAAAGAGATCATCAAGAAGACAAGCATCGCGGCGCGTTTAAATCTCGTCTGTCCAGTCACAGTCTTTTTAGATCCATGTCTAGTGTGTAGATTATTTTCTTCCTTGAACGTTATTCGTAACATCCTTCATGAATCGTAAATATATAGTGATGATACATTCGCGGACAATTCGGAGACTGGAGGAGGAACGCATAGAAAAAGATTAGTCAGATATAGCTCATTACCTATCTGCCAGTATTAAAAACAATGCATCATTTTCAAACGTTTTATTTTGGTGTCGGATACGATATTTATAATATTATTCTGCTTACAATGATTTTGGAGTTCCATTGATCTAAACGCAAAAATTTTCGCCGGACGTCGACCTCGTTGTATGGGATCTGATTATTAATTTCCACGGTTTTGATAGATTATTGAGAACAGCCAAGTTTCCGTGACCCTTCAAGGTTATTCTCAAAGAATTAGCGAACCTTTAGCTAACATCTGCAAGAAACATTAAACGACTTTGTCATTCCTTTCTTCTTAACGTATGAGACATAGTTACTTTCTATGGACTCTTTCCCATCAAATGCCACCCAGAGGAACTAGTCGGTGATCAAAAGTAGTGCGCGCAAATATACGTACGAGAAAATGCAGGCTTTGATTTTCAAAGTATTGATTGCAAAGGATAAGATGAAAGGCGAACGAAGAATTAACACATTGTATAGATAAATCATATCGAGTACGAACGGAGTAACCATGAAAAATACTTGCCATCGTCAAGTACTAGTGAATAGATAGCAAACATGTAGAAAGGGTTGCCATAGCCGTGACCGAAAGTTCATCGTTTTTTCAATCGCGTTTTTTCCCAGTCTTAACGAGATGATCTTGATTCGTCAGTCATATTTATCGGACCTGGCTGTAAGACAGGGTTTGAAAAATATCATAACCGACATGCAAAAATAACTAAATCGGAAATCAGAAATGAAGTAAAAAAATCACGTCATAATGTACCTTGTTACTCAGCTCAATATTGACTCGGTACATGCACAAATATATCAAATTCCACGATTCCCATGTCGTGCTTCTCGTATTGAATAGGAAATCGCACATTCTCTCGGCGTATTTTTTTTTTGAGATGTTGCACAGAAAATACCCCGCCCCTATTGCTACAATAATGGACACTCCGCCGGATTTACGGTAGCCCGAATATTTTACGAATCATTTCCTTTTTGACAAGTAAATGTAATCACGCGTAAACTGATTCGCACCGCCGAATTTACAGTCTTCAGGTCCGAGTAAGTACAGTATAGTCGGTGTATGATGAAAGTGTTTCCCATGACCCATGATCTCCCATATATAAACATATCACTCAACATTTTGCCATATACTGTTGTTTATTTTATCACTCTCTGAAGGTAGCTTATATGATAAAGATATAATTTAATATCCCGCGCGCATGCTTCAATAAAACCTTAATCTTTCGTAATTTATAAAAAAATTATTTTTTTTTTCAGTATTTTTTGTATATGTGTAGTTTGTCTTAGTATTTAAACCTAAAAAGAGGCGTAAACCATGGTAGTGAATATATAACATAAAAGATGTTATGCATATCAAAGAAAAAAATTTTTTGTATAATTAAAAAGTAAAGAAAACCATGGCCCATAAACACCTCCTCCGACAGGAATACCAATCAATTCCATGCTAAGTCAACCAAATCACAACATTAAAATTTAGTCGCCTCCCTTTGATCAACTAAGATCTCTTTCTGTCCCTTTTTTGCCGTCGTTTCCAATTCCCGTTGTACCCAGAATCTACTGCATTTCATTTCGTAGTCAGCATCTTTCAACTCCTTGAGACATTCCTTCCAGAACTTTGGAAATTCTTCTTCGGGCATATTCTGTGCTTTTGCTATGTGAGGTCCAATAGTGTTCAACATGAACATGCTGACCTGTTCAATATAGATATTACCGAGCTTTCCGCCACGTGGACCAAGTAAAAAGGTTCGCGTGTCATGATGGATTGGAGTAGATGGAAAAAAGAGAGCAAGGAATGAAGGAAGATGCTCGCTGATATTAGGAATTACTTTACGACGAGCAGAGAGCTCGGCAACTAAAAGATTCGAAAATATGAGATCCATAGTGTCGAGACAAAACAAAATAGACGAAGACTATAAATGCTTACATGTTTTCGTCAGTAGGCCCAAATTTGGCCCATCTACAAATTTGCTTTGATCCATTTCGGCAATCTATAAATTGAACTCATCAGATATGCATCACCGATGAGAAAACAAGTCGAACTGAAAGATCAAATATTTTTACCTCAAGCCAACCACCGGGTCGCAAAACTCTAAAATCATCAACACAGGTTTATGTTAGTTTAGATTGTGTAATTACTACAAGATTTCATGTGAATTTCCCGTCCCCAACAAGTACGCCAAACTTATAAATCAATGGGCTGTAGATTTCCAATTTACACACGCGCATATGGATGTCTCTCTCATTAAGAAGGTTGTTTAGTCTGTTCGAAAGCATAACAAAATCAATCCTATATATGTGCGGGTATGGACTGGAAATCCATATACAAAAACAAAACACAACAACTCTATACAACCCCTCGCTTTATTCCCTGCGTAATATTGTCGACACTCACCTAAACAATTCCTTTAATACCACGGGCCATTGGTCCGCAGAAAGACACCAATTCAGCAAACTGATGCGAATATAGTCGAAATATTGACTGTCGAACGGAACTCTGTCGGTAAGATCGGCTAAAACGAATTTTAAATTGACGGGTTTGATTTCGGAAGGGAATACGGGTTGGGTATCGACTCCATAAAAATCGACGGTCTGGTTTTCAGAGGCCATCTCGAGAAGCCAAGTACCTGGACCACAACTGTAGAAGAATTGTGCAATTAGTTTATAGTTTTGTTGGGTGAACTAGATCGTAGAGTATTGGCTAATGGTTATTCATATGACGACTAATCACGATCCTCTCTTATCACTTTGTTCAATCGTTTTCTTGGTTTCTGCTTTATTAGTTTTTCAGTGCTCTATCAGTGCTTTACATTAATCCTCCTGCCTATACTATTTTCTAATACTTACCCGGCATCGAGCACTCTTAATTTATGCTCTTTGAGATGTTGCTTTATCGGGGCCGAATAATTACTCTCCCATACATGCTGTAGAAGAAAATGCTGCATTTGTAGCCGGTCGATGTCCTCATTAGTACTTGGGAGATAGTAGGGTGTATGACTATCAAGCGATTGCGTCGGTACGTTATTTGAGGCTTTTTTTCGCAATTCCGCAGATGAATTGTTTCCCATTCTTTATAGTTGACGATGTTTGAATGGTCAAACAGGAAATATGTGTGAAAATAAGGAGAGTAATGGAATAAAGAAAGGGAAGCTGTTAATAAATAATAAGATAAGGTAAGGGATAGAAAGAATTAGGGATAATATATGAACGATACAATATGTATCGGTTTAGTGAAGTTGATTGAATTGGCAAGGATTGATTAAAAGAACGTGGATAGTTAATAACTGTGAATTAACAAATGTTGATTGTAGTAATTAAGGAGTGTCGGAACGTTGTATAGCCGTCGAGAAGAAGGTAGCATAAATTGACAAAGTTGAGTAATAAGTGATGGGGGTAGTTTTAAAAAGAATGGATCGTTCCTTATTTTCGGGTTTTTAGTTACAAATATATCTGTACTCTCTTTTTAGTATTTTTTTTTTCTGCCGAACATATAAATAAACTTTACTTCTAACCAAATTAAGCGAATTAATTTAATATTGGTGGTTTTAAAATAATCTATGATTGTAACATCGATATATATTATACGAGGAAAATAGGCAAAACGGGATCGTTATTAGTCAAGAGTATATGATGTGATCATATAATACAGCGCACAGACGTTGGGAGCATCTTGTCGGAGTTTCACAAATACATGTGTCAGTCGGTTATTAATAAAACAGGTCTTCTAATAAGAAGTTTCGGAGTTTCAATATGGATGCAACATCTCCATCTCAAATGTTTAATATCTATATTTTTGTGGTGAACATCAGACGCACGATCAATAGGACAATCGAGGATCGGGTAATCGACAATGTTGCTTTGGTTAGCATGTTTTTTTTGACCTAATATCGACGGCTGCAATCAAGTTTACTTGGGTTATTAGTGATTGCTTCGTATAGAATAGTGGGGGCAAATTACCTATCAACGAGGCCACTACTTATTTAGGTTTATGGAAACCCAAGCGAAAAATAATTTTCACTTGGCTATAACCGTAAAATTTATATAGTGACCTAAATTGGTGCTGATTGTTTATTTATGTTTTTGTTGTTCCATGTTTCCTGCATAAATTGAACTTAAAATATACAAATCCAAATGTGATTTGACGACTAGTCAATAGATTAGTTTTGTGCGTTTGTTATACTGTCATCATTTCTAGGCAACTTATCGCATCGTATAACAGTTCCTAATTAATTAGTAATATACCCAACTAAGCCCTCTATCATCTAACAAGTTACGTGGCCGGGTTGTTCAGTTTCTTGTGTTTTAAGTAACAAACAACAAAAACAAACAATTTGTACCTAAGATATCATGTGAAGTGCATTTATTTGTATTAATTGATTATAAACAGATATTGTGATAATAAACAAAAAAAAAATGATTATCAAACGCAGATGTTGAACTGCGGGCCGCGTCTAGATAACGAGCATGGAAAGATGGCTAGCATTGGTTCATATTGGGTTTGAATTACAATCTTCTTATCATACCGTTCATAATACGCTCTATTCGAGTGGGGGGGGAATGAGAGGTTACTTTTTCTTTTTTTTTATCTGCATGTATATCTCTGCCTGGGGAATGCAAACAATTGCTTTCAACAATACGGATGCAAAAATCGGCAGAATGACCAATTGACGAAGCACGAACCTTAATCGTATTAATATAATGATGACAAACGCTATCGCTACGACGATGTTCGTAAAACATGTATGTCTGATTAAGTAATTGCAGATAAAACGAATAATGAGAGCATCACTGCCATTATTAAAAAGCAATATTATGAAAATTTGAAAAATTTGATCGCCGGTCATATCCTAAATGGGGTTGTTAGTATTAGGTTGAAATATAGCATATTTATCTATTGTACTGCAGTCGTCCAATGAATGCTCAGTACTAAGAACTTGCAAGGGTTACTCACCCCCTGTTCAAAGCCTCAACTTCCTGGCCAAGTAAAAAGACTGCTTGTACTGACTGTGATGCATGCAGAAAGAACAACTGGAGTTCTCGAAGAATGATTGGTAAAGGATATAGACAGGAAGCTGCAATAATCACAAAGGGCAGGGTAAACATCGACACACTATAAGCTTAAAGTGATACGATTAATGTATATAGCCCCATTTAGCGGCCAAGCCTTTTAACTCCACAACTGTCATCATTGATAATCACATTCGATCATCTCCCTGCATGGAAATAAACAAAGTAGTGATCAAAACATGTGATCTTGATTATGCCCCCCGTAAGAGCCCAGTCCAAGAAACTACAGGGGTATTATTCTTGCTTCAAAAAGTCTGGGCACCGTACATCCCCGCGCCAATATATTGTAAGAAAAAGAGACACTTAAATTAACTAAAGCCTGGTTATCGTCATGTATATTTTACTTGAATCTAATATATGGTTACAGTATTAAAAGGTCACATCGTAGGTGTGATGGCTCGTCAATTATTGATTGTAAAGAGCATTGTAAACTATAGTTGGTATTGTAATATAGGATGAAACAGTTTCCAGTTATATACATTGCCATCATCACAATATTACTGTCAATTGTCGATAACTCCCCTCCGGAACAAAAAAAAAAGATTCCGGGTTCTGCTGTTCGAATCATCCCCGGTTTTATGGCTACATAAACTTTAATCAAGGGATAATAATAAGGAGAACATTCTATCTACAATATATACCTTCTAGTCAATCGTTGGTAAAGGATTACCCGCAATATCGAAGGTTTGAAAGCCGTTGTCGGTCACACCCCACAAGCTCGTTGCGGGGATCTACATTAATCTTTCTGATCGACAAGATATTGGTCTGTTTTACTAATAAGTATCTTGTGCCACGGGAATTATGAGATTAGGATAGATTTTCCATGATTGTACAACATAGCACGACTCTGTATTTTGCATAGTCATATGTTTTAAATATTGATATTTATTTTTAAACGGCTTACCTACTTAGATTAGCACGTTTTGGAAAGTTGGCTTGCATGCTTCCTGAATTTCATTGGTAAACAGTGTTTATCTCGTATTCGATAATTTTAATTCAGGAAATTTAGCCTTTCTCTTTTCCCGATAATCCATCTTTGTAAAGGCATAATCACATTAATATTAATATGTTGATTTGACATGTTGGGTTGCTGTGAAATGATATATAAATTATATATGCACATGTCCCCAACTAAACACTTTATGGAACACAACAGTCTTGATGTTGACAGTAAAACAATATGGAACAAGAGCGACAGTTTAAGGGGGGTCGCATCTGCAACTCACATCCTGCGAACGTTGAATTTCAAATGAATATTCAAGTCGAAAATTCATCCCAACAAAAGGAAGTTTCTAAACATGTTGTTAAAATGCAATTAATGGCGTTGGCATCGTTACGATAGTAATCATTCGACAATTGATATGTATACAAGATCATGCAAGGCTTTAAGCCAGGCTGGAATATGCAATGTATTACAGGAAGGTCGTGACCAATCAACGTCAATAATGATGATAGACATGCACGAACGATTACCAAAGGAATAATCTGCATTTTACTTTGTTAGATTTTATTCCCTGAGAAAAATAATGTTGTGCTATTATAATGTCGTGCCATTATTTTCCCTCACACTACAACGGAAAAAAAATACAAGCCATTTGCAACGGTAGCATTATATTATGCCATAATATATCGTACTTGCAGACCGCAGTAGACGTGTTCTAGATTATCATAATAAAACCGGCGTTATTTTAGGCAAAAATCACTTATCATCATTACCGTTGTATGACGTAACGGGATTTGTATCACTAGTAAATAAGAGAGCATGGCTTGAATGATGAAATCTACTTTCACACGTACAAGAGTGACGCTTTGCATCCTTGTGTTATCACCAAATCTTTTTTGTTGATTATTGTCTTTGTCATCAGGGCAGCAAACTCTTCTCGACATTGAGAATTGCCATAAAAGCATTCAGTTTAATATCGTGAAACATTTGCATAGACAAGATGACAATTGGTTTATCGGTCATTGTCGAGCAGCAGAATATCCGCACGTATTGCTGAATCCTTAATCAGGTCTGCATTCTAATCAGGGGTCGTAACTATGGTTTTGAACGAACATGTTAGAGAGGCTAAATGAGATTGGTTGTTACCCACAATTGCATGAAATATTTGACTTTACATGGCATTTAGCATATGAAGAATAAAGCAACATCGTTATTTCGAGACTTGACATACAAAGGCAAAGCGCGAACAGTAGTAAAAAAACATGAATGTCAGTTCTGGTTTATACCACTAGACCGGAGGAACCATCAAAAGGCAAACTAGCATTGATAATAAAATTGAACTTTTTAGATATGATGGCTAGAATATTAAACAATATGGTTAATGAGAAGAATAGTCACGTAGTAAGAAACCTTTGTAAACGTTTAGCGGCCCCATTTTGAACCAAAAGTTTAGCGTTCCTCTTGATTATTTAATCTGGTCTATTAAGCATGTCAGCCGTAGAAAGTGAGTTACAAATTGCAAGTCAGTCTCATAAATTTTCGACAACAAGCATAATTTGTAATACGTAACACATTATTTAAGTTTAACTGGTTGATCACAACTCGTGCGGTAACAATTCATATTATATATCGTATGATCCGTCATTGAACTAATCATTGAGCATGTCAGTAGATCATACGATTAGAGTAGTATCATGTTATTACGCCATCAGTATCATGTCATTAGAACCATAATATTAAAAAGTAACTCTTTACAAATAAGTACGAATAGTTCTGTATTGTCAGGGATAAAATATTTGCAACGTCGGATAATAAAAAAGCAGGCCGATTTTTTAAGACAAGCTAGTCTACAGGAATACTTGATGACAATAGTAATAATAATGGTTTAATATGTTATCACATGATCGCGACAATCAGAGGCCAGCTGGCTTATCGAGAATTTGGGTTTCAAAAATTTTTTGTCAAGCTATAATTACAGTAACTATAACGTAAAATTAACAGGCTCAAAGAAATTGTCCCATACTTTTTAAATACCTACCAAAAATCAAGTCCTTTTCTTTATAGAAAAACATCTCGACTACATAAAATTAATGCTATAGAAATAGCTCAAATCATTAACAACATAAACCTACCATTAATTGTTTGATATTTTTGTCATCATATTTTTGTAGCCTTGGAAAGTCTTATTTTTAATTTTTTTGGTAAAGTATGCTAGGAATAATGCAAAATATGAACGTTTTTTGTCAACAATGAGGAACATATTTACTGTATTTTTATCCCTACCCAGTTAGAGTAGTGACGTTATAGTTTACCAAAGTTTTTTTTGTTTTTTTTTTTTTTGCTTTAAGTGGTCACTCACGAAATTTACTAGTAAATATATAAAAAGTCTTTATTTCAAAAAAAATTGCAACGTATGTACTATGCAAACGACAATAGTTTTTGTATGGTTTTGAAGCTAATTGATTGTGCTTTTTGAAAGCAATAACAATAGAGTTCTATACTCTTATTATGAAGCTGTAGCTCAGCAGCTGTGATGTAAAAAAAATACGAATATATATGTGTGCACATATACGTGACTGCATTGAGCTTTATAACGGAAATATATTGTTATTACTTTCGAAAAGCACAATCAATTAACTCAAACCCATACAAAAACTATTGTCATTTACATAGTATACATTGGCGTGTAAAATTTTTTGAAAATAAAGACTTTTTATATTTACTAATAATTTCGTGAGTAACCACTCACTTTTGTCCAGGCAGTGTAGCATCTTGATAACGACTAATATATATTAATGCTTCAATCCGGTTTTATTCACAGCTTGCAGTAAATCTTTAACAGTCGGAGAGAAACTTAATTCGTTCTTAATATTTGGCAACATTTCTATCTAGCGCATATTACCAAGTGCACATCAGATATGACATAAAATTCCACCAAACTCATTTTCTTATTATTATGGTGGCCTTTTCCCAAAATCTTTCAAAAAATTTACTAAAAATCGATTTCTTGTTCAAGAATGGCTTTGCGTGATGCTCATACATTCAATATCAAAGGTGTTATTAGAACTAGCGATTCACTAAAAAATGTAAATGGTTGCTACTTAAAAGACTGCAAACAGTTATCTCAATTGCAAAACGTCTTTAATAAGCACCTTTGAGTTTTGCTATTTTAATAAAGAGATAAAAGTCAATTCTGACCTATAGGGGAGCGAAATAAATGATGCATAATTTTATTACGACGCATTTTTTATTGTTTTAGAATTAAACAAAGTAAGACGTTTTATTTAAAAGGTGATCACCAGTGTAGCAAAGGTCTGTCAGCATGCTGAATCTTTTTTTGCGTTCTTGTTGTTCTAGAGCATGGTAAGCATGAGCACCCTTTCCAACGGCAATGACTTGACCTTCGTTGTATGTCTCTAACGATTTCTCTGGGATTAAAATTCCTGCCGCGGTTTTCTACATATAATAATGTTTATAACAGTTAGTGACCCAATACGAACTATCTTTACACAAAGCGGGTTGATTTAATAAAGAATACCTGTTCTGCTTTGAGGCGTTGAATGAGTACTCGGTCAATGTTATTATGTAAAACAGTTATTACTACCGTATTTTACCGCATATTATGAGACTTAGAAAAGAACTTACTTCGGAACGAAAGGGAGGCATTACCATGAGATTCAATCATAGTATCAAGTTATTTTGTTACCTCACTTAATTAGTGAGCATTTTTCTTCTGACTCATTAAAGGCAGATAAAACTGTGAAACAACAAAAAAAAAAAAAAACTGCCGACGCAAGAACGACCGAAGAACGCCGCCACTCACGCCGGTAAATTCTTGGGATAATTCAGAGTAGCAAAATGAATAACATTGTGACAAGGTAAAGAGTTTTTTCGCCGCAAATGAATTCGGCACGCGACAAAATAAAAAGGACAAACGCGAAATTACGACGGTAAAAGTCAAAAAAAAATTTTTATTTTTTTTTCTTCACATACACTACGTGTATTAACCGTAAAATTTTAATTCATTGCCATAAGCTCAAATTAACGCTTAATTTTAAAGTATTATTTGCGCACGTCCGTCATAAGCTATTTAGCAGTAGTTGAAGCAAGTTGTAAATAGTTTTGTGCACTGAGATCGTGTTTTTTGACATTATGAATCTGCAACAAGGTTCATTAAATCCTTCTAATATTGGCAGTCAGGAGGCGGTTGCCATGCATACAATCCGTATACGTTTTTGTATATGCTCCCAATTGTCAATGTAATAAAAAGATTTTAGCAGGGTCAAAACTGTTAAATTTTACAGATTTACCATTTTTTTTATCAACGCTTGACTTTTCCCGTTCGCATTTCTACATTTGAAACAAGCAAGCCGATTATTAAAAAGCAAATTACAAAATTAATGATATTATCTATCTAAAAATCTTTTTTGAGCAGTATTTGCATAATTTTTTATCCGATAGAACCAGTCAAAATAACTTTGATTAGCTACTTGCTTATTAATTTGAAATTCTTGTTTGTTATCGCAATAAAAGACCAGACCAAAACAAAGTATTATCGATCAATTTGGTTTTTGTGTGTGTTTGATAGACAAAATTAATTGTTTTGAAATCCACTAAACACTCGGCCCCTGATAAAGAAACACGATCCGTACTAGTTTTTGTCTCGGAACAGTCAAATCGTATATCTTTCAACATTGATACTGTAGACATTTACCATTAACAAAAGCAAATAACGAAATATCCAATAATGAGTTTCCACTATTGAATTTTTTTGTGGGTTGATGATCAGACTTATCCTTGGGCTTTCAACTTACAACCAACTCAACAAGATAAATTACAATCGTTTGAGCAGTCGAGGCTGGAAAATTTAAATCTAAACTACTTGGTGAGGGGAACTATCTAAAGAGCATCGAAAACTTATTCGGTAAAAATGAATCAACCTAGAAGAAGAAGAAACTGATAATATTCAAAAAAAGTTAATATTCATCAGTGGTGTTGGGTCAAGTATTTTCCTCCCTCTAGTGACGCCATAATACGTACGTATTAATCTCGTAGACTATTACTATAAAGCCATTGTTAAAATAATGCATGATCTACAAAATACTGTACAATTGTTCTAGAATGTGACTCTTCTCAAGTCATAGAGACAAGTATTTTTGTTTAATTAATCTGGATAAAAATCTTTGTTTTATCCAATTACTTTGCTCCATGTCATGTGACTTTGTCTCTAATTATTGCATACCTCCTAGAGGAGTCTGGGCAAGTTGATAGAAAGGCATCTCATTTACACTGATAACTGGCAACTTCGGATTCACCTCAAGTGTGTCCATTTCTATTTCCTGCATATGCATTCCCTTCAGATTCTGCAACTGACATAGAGTAAGGACAATGGTGATGAGCACAGATTAAACTGATAGCGAATGTTTGTTCTGTTGGCGTAAATGCGTCTTGCACGACGTATATTTTGGGAGATGGCATCGGCACAATAAAGGCAAAGGAATGGCAAGCAGACGATGAATCGGCTTTTAACAGAGAACGAATTATGGTGAACACTTACGTCCGGATTTTTGGAAACCTAAAAACTACAGAGACGGAAAGATACGTCGACCAAATCTACGCTCGAATCCATATGCAAGAATTCCCCGGCTTTAGACTCTCCTGATTGACTTCGTGAGAGCCTTCGTTATTGGACAACGCGCCGACGCCTATTCTGCCAATCAAGGAAAAACCATTGCAACATCCGGTTTCTGACAAGCTCTTAAGTCTCATAATAGCAATAGAATGGAAAGCAATGCACAACAATTGTGATGCTCATTGTCCGGATCCTGCTTCTTCACAGCTCCCTCAACAAATAGCTGTAGGAACATCGATTTTGAGCTCAGTTCCTGTGAAAGATATATACTGTAACATCAATATTGGAACAATATAGAGAAACAACAATAGCAACAGGAAATATTACCGTCCTCGGGACAGTTTATCTTTCATCACGATTCGCCGTTGGAAACTGCGATCCTCCTTTCCATTGCAACTGACATTATGGCTCTACAACTTTGCATGTCGTTTCAATCATAGAAAAGACTGTCAGCGTTTCTGATTAAGCCGACAATAGAGAATTCGTGATGCGATACGTTCCTCTCATTATAACACCCCCATATTCTATACTCCGTCAGACACTCCCGAGTGTTACCTCGTCAACAGGAGCCCTGATTTCACTGCTATCGATAACGCATGCTATAACAAAGATGCAATGCTTAAGAGAGAGAGTAACTGACGGTATGTATCTATCATTCCATAGCTGTACGTAGTTCACACCCAATATTATTAACAGACGATCGACGGATTGCTGTCACTGCTATGTCATGTGGATTGCAAAGCTTTAACTGCTTGTCGAAACTTTATTGTTATATTACTGTATTACATATGGCATGATTAAGTTGTAATAATTCAATCTTTTTTATGTTGGGGTTTGCTAATGCTATAGAAGGGAAGGTAATCGGTTCGCTCCATGCATAACATAGGGGGATTTGATAGTATTTACGATTACTATATTATTGTTGATTTATCGAATTAAACAAAAATTCTGTAACCTCTGCGTTTACGTGGTAGACGGTGTATGCAAGAGATCTCAGAGATCTCGTAGTTGACTAGCAACCTTATTGAGATATGCTTGAAGTCGTAGCCAGCGGTTTACAAAATTCTCTAATGCCTCTGGACTTTCAAGAGGTGTTAAAGGTATTGTAAAACTCTCTAGCACACGTACTCGATAATATACCCAATAAGGCCTGTCTAACACTGCGATCTTAATCTCAAGGCAATGAACCTGCACATGCGTACCAACTTGACCCAATCCAAAAGAAACTTTGAAACGTCAGCTATAGGACGTGAGCACTCCAAAATAATATTTCCAGATTTCCGTGGGAGGTGGGAAGTGTGGGAGGAGGGTGGTAGTGTGGTTTGGGAGTACGCAACGGATAGCTCTATCCCGCCAGGACTGGGCGGGATGGATTCTCCTTCGCGAAGGTCTGATAGATTTTGTTTCCTTTTAATTCTGAGGTTTGCGTTGCTATTCTTGCCACGCAGGGCATCCTCATCCTTTGTGAATGCTGCTCTTCGTTGTTTTCTTTCTTCATGGTACATGACACGGGACGCGTGATTTAAATAATAATAATAATGTCAAGCGACACCCAATCCTTGAGGATTTTTTTGTCCTCTTCGGTATACGCGGTCCGTTTTTTTATCAGTATGTTCTCCCCTTATAATCTCTCGTCGCCTTATCCTAACCATGGTATTGATCTGTGTAATCGCTTAATAACTCTGTCAACCATTCTGATTGATAGTCTGGCTGCTGGGATATTCCACACCCGCGAGTAAAGTGCCTCGTCGCCAAGTGTCCTGCAGCATGTTCAACAGCTGTAGCCCTAAGCTCCAAAACAACCATTGGCCTTCCAGACTGTGTTGGGTTAGGTATGAGCATAATAATAATGGGATAGGAAGTAAACAACGAAAAGTTTGCTGACGTACTCCTACGCCGCGCCATTTATAGCAGCCCGCAGTACAAAGATCGACACACTGTGAAACATTGCCCGCTACAAAGTAAAAAGTAGCGCGAGCATTTCATAGTAATAGATTGTTAGCCTATAATGTCTCGTTAGTTAGTGGAACGGTAGAAATGTATATAAGCGCATCTAATTCACGCTAGCTAACATTATCTTCAGCATGGTTTAGAGCATAGCTCTTGGATCTTAGCATTCCTTCAGTCGCAATGTATTTGTTATTGGTTTAGCTCTTATTATTATTAGCATAATAAACCGTATTTTTATTGGAAGATAAAGTATACTATTGATTACGACGTGCAAACCGTTTGATATCTTGTCCATTCAACAACGAATTGGCAAAATACGATTGCTAATTAATTGTCTACAAACGCGCTTACTTTAGGATAGAAATTTCCTTTATTGAACCTACAAGCTATCGAAATTAATTATACTGCAGCTTAATTGGCTATCGAGAGTCTGCGTATACAAGACCGAACGTAAGAGTTGTGAGTATTTAAACCCAATTAAAAGATCACTAGTTGTAATTATAATTGGCCAAGTAGAGGTAACCGGCCTCGTTTAAATCCCAAGGCACTGACAGAGACTTTAACGGATTTAACTTTCACTTAAAAATTTCTAAGCTTTTAGTTTATCTTGTTGAGCTGGTTGTAAGTTAAATATGAAGCGAAAGCCCAAGGATAAGTCCGAAGAAATTCACGATCTCTATTAACAAAATTTGTGCGTGTTCGCTTTCCAATTTTGTGCTTTATGTACCCCTGAAATCTTTTTGTGGCGCTATATTTTGCCTAATATTTTAATATCGCCACTTGTAGTGCTTTACGGACAAACATTAACATGTTTTCTATATCAATACTGATACTGCTTCTACTGGGCTCTCCTTTCATAAGCGGACTTACAGAAAAGAGAAGAACCGAGCTGAGGTGAACGATCAAATGGAAACGGTCAATGTGATAGTGGCGTTCACTAAGAATACTATGCCTAATTGTTGGGTTTCTTTCGTTCTTTCGTAGGGACTACACGAAGGTGCTACTTTCTGTTTCCATGATAACAACTGTTGTAAAAGCTCCTCGGATTTAGTTGTTGAACAAGCATTCCTCACATTTCGACACAAAATTAGGAAATGTTCTATCATGGATTCGATAACTATATGGAATATGCTTTTCCAATGGACGAGGTAACCTGAATCAGCCGATACTTAACTTTTGGTCAACGATATATGCTTTTTGAGATATATAATTTTTTATCTTCCTCGACCGATCTCGCGTGTTAGCTAGATCCGATACATTGCGTTGGACGAGGACGTGACAAGCAAAATCCGCAAGTGTTAAGCCGTGTGTTCTTCAATGATTGTACTATCAGTTATTGTATTCAACCGGTCGAACTTTATTCTTATTTTTATCTCACTTCTCTGTATCAGAGATAACATCGTTATTAACGATGTCTTGGGAGATTTCTCATTGACGCTCGTGGATTCTTTGGACACGTTTGTCGTAAGAGATTAATTTTATCATTATCAAGCGGATATTTTATATGTTGATTTCTTTGTTTATCAATTTTTATTTTTCATATCAGATTCTTGACGACAAGAAAAGATTTGAGGATGCTGTCAGACTGGTTATAGATAACGTGTCATTTGATGTTGACAGCAAAGTCCAAGTATTTGAAGTAAACATACGCGTATTAGGCGCATTAGTAAGTACGATTACTCGTTTACGATCGAGATTTCTCGATTTACTTGAGATTAATTAATTCTGTTATTTTAGTTGTCTGCGCACTTGTTCGCGATAGATAAGCGATTTGGATATGAAATTGATTGGTACAAAGGAGAACTATTAGAGATGGCTTATGACTTGGGAGAGAGATTATTGCCTGCCTTCGCGCATACCAAAACGGGGATCCCGTATCCAAGGGTTTGTCTATTAAGAATATTACGTTGAAGGAGAGTTGGACAAGCAAAGGAAGAGAACTTACACGAATTTATTGCTCTATGATATACAGGTCAACCTAAAATATGGATTACCAAGGGATGAGATAGAGGAGACTTGTACAGCCGGAGCTGGCTCATTAATCTTGGAATTCGGTACTCTTAGCAGATTAACCAATGATACCCGATTTGAAGTATGTCAGTCATGCTGTCAATCTGTAAACTGTTTGTCAGTTCGTTCTTAACATTATTTGTAACTCTCTTCCATCAGAACGCAGCGAAGAAAGCTTTATATGCACTATGGAATAGACGCACGGAATCGGATCTCGTCGGAAACGTAATAGACATTCAAACAGGCCATTGGATTCACATAGCCTCTGGAATAGGAGCAGGAATAGACTCATTTTTTGAATATCTCCTCAAATCGTATACGTTATTTGGTGAAGCAGAATATTACGAAGTGTTCTTGCAAGCATACACGGCAATTATGAAACATGTCAGAGACGGCAGCGGATATGTATATCAGAATATTAACATGTATAATAGAGGAATAATGTCATCTTGGGTGGATAGTCTAGCAGCCTATTTTCCAGGTTTGCAGGTGAAACAGCGATAACTTCGCTCTTGGATCGTATAGTGAACTCGATCTAGTATTAATGATATTATCTGTAGGTATTGGCAGGCGATGTGGAAAATGCAATCAAATTGCATTTACTATATTACAACATTTGGAAGAAATATCATGCATTGCCAGAAAGGTTTAATTATCATCTACAGAGACCAGAAATAGTGTCATACCCATTACGACCAGAATTCATTGAATCCACGTATTTCTTGTACAGAGTAAGAAGGCCAGATATTTTGTGACGACTTTATCTGAGTATGCTCGTCTTGTACTTACTACGTCTTGACTACAATAGGCCACACGTAATCCATTCTATTTGAGTGTGGGAGAAATGGTCGTGAACGACTTGGAGCGTTATCGCACGGATTGTGGATATGCCAGTGTGAGAGATATTCTTGAGGGGGAACTTGATCCACGCATGGAAAGCTTTTTATTGAGCGAAACGTTCAAGTATTTGTATCTATTATTTGATGTTGGTAAGTTTTACACAAGTTTTCATGCAAATCGCTAAGACTTGCGTACGATAGAAAAGTCAACACGCTCTTTTAATAGATAACAAGTTTAATACGCTGGATACCAATGTTGTATTTACGACCGGTAAGGAATGTAAAGTGATGCATACACCGTAGAATGAACAAGACTTTCGACCATTAAACCATTCATACTGTCTGACAGAGGCACACATCCTCATGCTCTCAACCACCTACCTCAAATTCCAACCTTCGATAATCCAAAAACACGACCCCAGCCTCGAAATGCCAACCTGCCCTCGTTATACTCCACAACCTGGACTTCTCTCCAGCATCCTGGATAGACCTGATGCGGATTACGCGAGAGCGCTGGTTGGTCTCGACGCCGACACTATCATACCGCATGCACGAGGATACTGCGAGGCGGTTTCTACCTCGCCGCATGTAATTGAAGTGAGTTTTGGAGAACGTTTGCCAGAAAATTATAAACCAATGCCGCCGACAAAGTTCGATGGCGGAGTGATTATTGATCAGTTGACTGGTATTAAATTGGAGTTGACTAAGCGTTCCGATAGGAATGGATACAATATATCAAAAGGTAAAAAATGTACAAGTGGTAGAGAGAATGAAAAGGGAATTGGGGTTTTCTAGTGGATGTAATGGGATTTTTTGAACGAGAGACTAACGTTAATATTTTGGTATGTCTTTGATTCGCAGTGAATGATTACAGGTATGTCCAAAAAAAAAAAAGAAGAAATTCACCGATTAACAAACTACCGTTTCAGTTTACTTTAAGTGACTTGATTCTCATTGTCCATCCACACAGAATTGCTCCTGGAGAAGTTCTGGAAATACGTGACCCATCGATAAAGGAACATTGGCTAAAGCAACAAAGTTATTCCAAAATTACGCTCCGACTTTATCGCCCTTCTTTACACGACTATACCGACATTTCTGGCGTAACTGCCTCGTTCTCACCGACCGTTCATCACTATTTTCCTCATCCTCTTTACAATCTTCACCACTTGCCGAAAACTCCGTACGGTTGTTCTCCTTACTCATCATCTGAAAAATATATGCTGCGGAACTCGTATATTGTTGTAAAGCGTGGGGAATGTACTTTCTATGAAAAAGCTATTCATGCGCAGGATGCCGGTGCCAGAGCGGTGATAGTAGTCTCAGATGAAAACCACTTGTTTCAACCTGCGATGCCATCGGAGAATATATTAGAAGAAGTTAGCATTACGTGCTTGTTGGTTACTAAGGAAAGCGGCGACATTATTGAGCGAGCATTAGAAGATGCAGGCAAAAATGAAATTCAGGAGGGAGTAATCGAAAACGTGATTTCAGATGAAGGTAACGGAGAAAGTGAAACCAAGGCCTCATTGTTACCACCAGAGACAAACATGGGGAGTGTTGTTGTTGGGAATGATTTTTATTTGGCTATCTATGACCATATAGTGCATAATATTAAATTAAATCTAAATGGGCAGTAACCCTTTAGGATTTATTTCTGAGAGACTATAGAAATTAGCATAATAAAAATTCAGACAAGTTGGGAAAGTGAGTGTTGAAATTTTGAAGTGAGAATAACTTGATTTTGTAGCATGTAAATATCACAAAATGAGAGAGAGACTGTGGGGACTGGTGTATTGTGCTTTTATCTTAGCGTAAGACTAATTTATAACAGAGATCAGTGTTTCTATCTTCATTCGAAGACTGTTAATTCGTTCAGGTATGCTAACTCCAAATCTGGCCGGGGAGAATTGATCACAGTAACTCGATGTTAATACTGTGTTGATTATATTCTATGATACATTAGCAGTGCAAAGCAGACAATAAGTTTTAGAATGTATATTTGCATAAAAGAAATCCACCAAATACAAGCAGAGCTAACATCTCGTCGTTAGCTAATGTGTTTCCGTTGCGGTATAATTTTTATCCCTCTCTCAACGGTCACACGGTCGACTCTAAGGAAGGGTGACGGATTCCCTATAGCTTTATGAGGTGCTTATGCTCACATAATCTACACGTTTGTTAAGCGTATCTGTTCTCAATGTGTGTGCAAAAAATTGGCACGGAATATTAAGTACGATCTGAATTTGACTATACCGATTCGTTTGATCCTTCAAATACGCGAAATCAATTTTCATCGTCGATTCAACAACTGAGAATCCGATACTCATATAATTTACACGTTTGTTAAGCGTAACTGCCAATGTATGTGCAAAAAATTGGCACGATCTGCATTTGACTATACTAATACCGATTGGTTTAGTTTTTCGAAGACGCGAATCAATTTTCGTTGTTAATCATCACGATCAGAATCGATATGAAAGTTCAAAAAGCAGATCTTAATAAAGCTGCCATTCATATGAAGAGTTGACCCAATAATATTAACAAAGGAATGGGTAAACGGTATCATCAGAATCACAGACCAATGAAGGACGTGCATGTCAAGCGGCCGGACATTGGAAAATAAATTATTATTTTTGTAGATGTTACACAAGACAGAGATATTTGATTATTAATTATGGGAGGTGACGTAATAGTAAGCCGTCGTACGAAACACAAACACGTTCGCCATTGTCGTGTATCTGGGGCATACCTACAACGTGTTCACAAACTTGGTATTTTTCTTTGACCTGCCAATAATGAACTCAGACTTAACACGTTACTTCAACTCCCGGAGTATATATCTTAACCCAACGTGGCTTTCTGACACACTCTCTACCCTTTCTTCCTCCTCCTCTTCGCCCTCTTCTTCGTCTGCGACTACTCATGTCTATAATGTCTTCCTTCGCACCCCGCTTCGTCTATCCTCCATCCCCTCCCTCCCACCGAATACGACAGATCTGCATGATAGCCGCATTGCCGTATCTAAACCGATCGTTCTCGAGATACTTGATATTATGGAAGTGGGAACATCACTACAATCTATATTCGATACAATCTGCGCATACCAAAGCGGTTCTGTGAAGAAAGGAAATAAGTATAAGGATATTAGAGAGGAAAGAGATAAACCGTGTGATTTTCCAAGAGGGATGTTGAAATTTGTGTTGAGTGACGGGCGACAGGTCGTGGATGGGATGGAGTATAGAGCGATACAAGAAATCAGTTTGAATACGATACTAGGCATGAAGGTGAGTTTTCCCGTAAAAAAGAACACGCATGCAGAATGTCAGTTATTCGCACCTAACTTTTGTTTTATTTTCTAAAATTTTTTTTTGTAATTGATACCAATCGAAGAAAGATCCAATTAAGTAATGTTCGTGTGTTGAGAGGTGTGCTACTCTTAGATTCGAGTAATACCAAAGTGCTTGGCTGTGGATACGATAAGATACGTAACATAGAAGGATTGAAAAGGAAAGTAATGACTTGCTTAGGGTAACTATTGGAAACATGGAAGAACTACATTCTTTACTTAGCTAAAACCTATATTCACCGCTATTATATATTATTAAGAATGACAGTTGATCCAAATAGTCACCTACAACCTTCCTCAGCACCTACATCCTCACCAAAACAAAAGTCTCCAGTATCCCGTTTTGAACCAACTCCTCCGTACTCAATTCCACCATCTTCGACTCATGATGTAGATGGGAGTGAAAACTCGCAGAGTGAATTCATTTGTATTGACGACGAAGATGAACTTACAATACGTGATTGGGCTAATTTTGAAACTGATGACAGCTGCTTTGAGCCAACTCCCCCGTCACCAATTCTATTATCTTCGACTCGAGATGTAGATGAGAGTGAAAGCTCGCAGCAAGCATTCATTTATATTGACGATGAAGATGAATGGTGGGGTGGCTGAAAAGTTTACGACATCGAAATAAACTATTTCATTCTTCCAAAGAAGTGAGCCAATCCTCGAACGGTCTATATAGTACTCTTCTTTTGATATACTCGAAGTATTGATTGAACAGCCCGCGCGGAGATTATCAACCTTATTATACTTTTTATTTTGAGTTCTTTTTTGATTCTAGGGAACAGAAAAAATCGCAGGAGCTTTTTTCCTTTTAAATACTTAGTGATCACTTTTGAAGTACACAGGCAAACTCGATAAGTCGGTCATGCATGATGGACCGACTTATCGAGAGAACCGACTTATCGAGAGATTTTAAATATTAAAACTGAGAAAAGGGCTTGGGAAGTTTTGGCCTTCTTAGACCAAAATTGAATCATCGAGAGACCGACTTATCGAGTTTGCCTGTGTATGCGGCGCAGCATTATCATGACATTTCTTTCTGTCATTCTGGTAAAATCTTATCGGCAGTAACACCTTTCGACAGCCTCTGTTTTCTAAGAACGTATAAAGATGAGTGAGACGAAAGATTAATGGAACGGGAGAATTGCCTTTTCGGCAGGCCAATGACCATAAATCATTTGTTTAAACCTGGAGACTGCGTGCAGAAATAAATAAATAAATTATCATTCATTTCCGAATAAAAATATCATTTATTTATATGTGAATGTTTGTCTAAGCTCTAAATCTTTTTAGTGCACTTCTTAAACTTCTCCTTTGCGGAGCAGGCACTATTATATTGCTCTTTTTATTTCCATTGTTCCATCTCTTCTTCCCATTTCTATTCCTTTGATAATTATCATTAATATCAATGTCATTCAGTATAGACGGCTTGTTTCTTGATCTACTCTTCGGTTGAGGGCTAATTGGTTCACCATACAATTTTCTCCGACAATTGTCACAATTATTATTACATTGGTGAGGTGATATATTTTCTCCAAAATATTCCAACACTTGAACCCTTCTACAAATAGACTTGTTCTCACAATATGAAACCATTTGCTCAAGATTGTTCAGCAGACGTTTCCTCTGATCCGATGAATATTCTTGCGACTGGCTTATCAAAAAACGTATGTTGGTTTTATCCTTTTTGGAGTAGTATAATACACATTTGGACGGCTTCCCATCTCTTCCTGCTCGACCTGTTTCCTGGTAGTATCCTTCAAGTGACTGAGGTAGGGTGTGATGGAGCACATAACGCACATCCGCTTTATCTATCCCCATACCAAAAGCGATGGTGGCGCAAATAACATGTAATTCACCAACTTGCCATCGTTTTTGGATTGACTGTCGTTCTTGTTGTCTCAGTTTCCCGTGATAAAATGCAGCACTGATTCCATATTGTACACTTAATTCTTTATACAGCTTCTCGCAGTGCTCAGTTGTTCTACAGTATATAATGCCTGCTTTCCCGACGCCTTCCTCCCGTATAAAGTCTATTATATCACTCGAAACCGTCTTGCTCTTCTTCTCTCTGACCTCGTAGAATAGATTGGGTCGATTAAAACTGCGAACGAGTGTGACTGGATCTTTCAAGTGCAGTGTACTGATCACGTCTTCGCGAACTTCTCCATTGGCGGTAGCTGTGAGTGCCATCGTCGGAACGTCCGGAAATCGTCCTTTGAGTACTCCGAGATTGCTATACTCGGGCCGAAATTCTCGACCCCACCGGCTAACACAATGGGCTTCATCAATAACAAATCGGGCAAGAAACTTTCTCTCATACAGCTTCTGTACCTTATCCATTACTTTTATCCCTTTGCCAACCATCTCAGGAGTCAGATACAGCAATTTTATCTGACAATTTGGACTGTCTAATTGATCATAGACCGATTGCTTGGACTTTGCATCTTGAGCGCTATTAATTACACACGCCATAATTCCTAAATCAACCAAGTGTTGCACTTGGTCTTCTATTAGTGCTAAGAGGGGTGATATAACGATTGTAACTCCACGTGTAACGCCTGTTGTTACTAGAGCTGGCAACTGGTAACAAAGACTTTTGCCACCTCCAGTGGGCATTAGCACAAAGACGTCTTTACCAGAAAGTGTTGTATTTATTGCTGCCAGTTGTTTCTCTCTGAAAGAGAGCAGTTTAAATGGATTGGCCAAGAGAGAATAGACCTCAGTCGTCCATGGATAGGACTGCTTTTCCGCCTCATCGATGACCGCGGGAGTTGACGTCGTAGGTAGTGACAATATATCAGATGAGATATCGGAAGTTGACGTCGTAGGTAGTGACAAGATATCGGATGAGATATCGGATGGGACTTGGATTGATTCAATCTTTGAGTTAAGTGTTGCAATGCGGAATATTATCTGTGATCTGTGTGAAAGTAAAACATTAATATTAAATAAAATGAGGTGCATAATACTTGTCGTTAATAAGTACCGTTCATAATACAGTGCTTGAATAGCACTTTCGTCAGCATTAGCGTCCTGTAAATCGAGAATCTGATCTGCTATCTGTTGCTTTTGTTGCTTAGCTTCCAATAAGTCTGTCTCCAATTGTTGTAACGGAAGTTGCTAATTATCATTAAAGCGAAATCGTTTGGTTAGAACGCAATTAGTCACATCCTTTTGACGCTGTCGTTATAAGAACAATTAGATTCACGTACATCTACTTCATATAATTCGCCGTCCGACATTACGTCAATGGTATCCTAATTCAGTGATAATTTTAGCAATTCAAAAATACGCATACGTTTACGACAAAGGTTAAAAATTTTCTATCCGATGTTATTACCAGTAATTCTCGATCATGTTGATTCTTAAAATCGTCCTCCATTTCTTCGTCCGAACTTATTGCTATGAATTCCTATGGATAAACATAACCTTAGTATCGAGATAAAGACAATCCAATTCCATCTTTACTGTAAACGCGGCTATTCTACATCAATTCTTACGTCGTCTTTCTCGTTTTGTTTGTTCTCCATAATCCCAGTCTCTATATCCTCCCATAGAATATCTTTATAATAATCGTCATAGTAATCATTTATAACGCCATCATCACACGGATTCGTATTTTCTTGGCGAGAGTTCCGGTCTGGTTCAACAAGCGTATCTTCTGATGAATTACTAAGACGCGTTGAATCATGGTGCGAGAAATAAATGCTATTCACTACAGGTCTTTTCCTGGGGGGAGATATAACATAGTCGTTTATATCCTCGCGAGGCCGCTTTCGATGATCTTTGAGCCACCGTAATTGTGTATCCAAATTATTGATCGGACGAAAAGGTCGAGTCATGTGTATGATAAGCTTCGCCGGGAGTAGTTGATGCCTTTGTGTCAAGTCTGTTTTTGTTGTGTACCTTCATAGATAATAATAAACGCATCACGTGTAATGTAACACAAGCGTTTAACAATAATAATAATAAATTATTCGATCTCGCGCTTTATTATTATCGTGATTGTTTTATATTTATTATTATGCAAATGTCGTGTCACTAACCGTCATCATGCGAATTTTTTTCTTTCATTTCCGACAAGAAACGTTGGACGTCGATTCTTTTCCACGGTGGAAGACGGCAATAATGAGAACATGAGGAAATGACTTTTATCAGCCAAGGAAAGAGTTTGCATCATATACCGAGAAAACAAAAGAGTTTATACTAGGGTTTGTAGAGTGTAATTAGGAATTAGTTAGGTGTATTGGCGCTGCTGCTAATAAAGGACGTGAAAGCTTTTGTGAGCCCAGTTAGAATTGTTACTGTGCCAACAGCAGGGTAAGAATTTAGTTTAGACAGGAGGCACTCAATAAAGCACAATATGAGGTTGCATCACTTGAGAATGACAGTATTTTGGACACCATCTCAATATCACCATCCGAAATCACGTTTTCGGAATGCCGCCGTAAAAGCGAGACTACAAATCAGTAAAGAAACACATTAATAGTTCAGGCGTCGTTTTAGACTCGCCAGATTTAGTAGACATTGAACGATTACCAACCCATTGCCGCCAACATGAGTTTGGCTAAAAGAGGATGAAGTACCTGGAAGTTGTTTGTTATTAGACTTTTGGATTCATTAATACAGTCGGCCCAGTCTCTTCGTCTCAATTGTCACACCCTGTGCCAAAAATGGGTGTGACTATCTTGTAAATAAAGCGCATCTATCACATTCAATCACGTGGGGGTTAAACATGATGTCATAGTTTCAAAATTACCAGTATTAGTAACACACATTAAAGTAATATTAATATTAATGGGGCAAACCAGACAAACCGCACAAAACCCCACATAATAAAAACTCGCACATGTCAGGCCTATCTCCAAGTGAAGAATTTTCACAAGGGCAGCAATTATATACTTCCATTGAAGAGTCAACTCTTGATTCTGTTGACTCCGGGTATCAAGTACTACCTCCCTTCTTCAATCAATATTAATTATCGATCTACTTAATTTCTAATCATCCTTTTACTTCCTTAGAACGACGTAAAGAAGGCGATTGGTCATTTCACTAGATGTGCACACTTGGTAAGGGAATTGAGCTTGTTTAGTATTAATGAAACTGTTGATGATATAAGCACCACAGATTTGAAGTAAGTCAAGCATAAATACGATAGTATATGCTATACGGGTCTCTCTATTGCTAAATAAATGCAAATGGTTCGTCTGCTCGTATTGATGTTCTTATAAATGCAATTGTCGATCAATTAATCAGGTATTTATTGGTTGAAGCTTATCTTGGGACTCTACATATAAAACTTAACGAAGGAGATCGACTAGTCTGTCTTGAAAAGGCAAAGGTAGGCATCCTTCTTCTGTTTGGTTTCGTTTCTTCATCGATTTGCTTAACTCTTATCAAACTCTCCTTAATTAGCTCTATCTTGAGCAGTTTCTAGAAAATGTCGAATTATATTCCCTTATATCTGATCAGGTCTGACTTACGTGAGCGAATGCCATCAAGTAATGGCACAAAGTATTATACGTTTTGTATACCTAGATTGACACGATCTGTCTTTAATCAGGATAAGAAATACCTTGAATCGGTAAAAGCACAAGTTACAGGCGATCCTGCAAAATCGCGCGATGAAAAAATAGCTCGAGCGAAGCGGAAGAAGGAAATCGAAAAGGAATTGAAGGTACGGCAGAGCTCGGGTGGAAAGGGAATGTATAGCGAATGGATAGTGTTTCAAATTAGTTTGACAACCATTAACACGTAATCGCATAATTCTTGTCATTAAATTCGCTTCCACGACTTTTTTATGCGCATCCAAGACGCTTCAATCATTTCTCCAAAACTCCCTAACTGAAGACAGGGAAGATTTTGATCGAAAACATGTTTTGAAGCTCATTGAATTATTTGTTCAAAAATCAATTGATGAGCTAAGAGCTATTATGAACGAAATTGAAATGGTAATTATAATGCAAAAGATGCAAGAGCAGCAACGGAATGGACAAACAGATGATCGAGTCAATGTTCATCAACCTCAAAGAGCTACAGGTAGTAATGGCTCACTGTTGGATAAAGACGGAAAAGTGAGTATACAGGTTATAAAGGGTAGTCTTATATGTTTGATGGTATTTGGAAGGTTATTTCCTTTAGACTCAATATTGTACATATGTAATTATTAACCCATTTGTGCTGTTTCTAATAACGCAGCCTCAGCGTCCGTTTGTTTTGACTTCCAAACGAGAAGAAATAAAGAATTCATTATGGAGGCCTCATTGGTCACTGCCAACCATGTCCATCGACGAGTATTTGCAGTTAGAGGCGCAGCGAGGAAATATTATTTCTGGCGGAGGGTAATTAGGCGCGACTGCGATATGTCGTTCGTTAATGTAATGTACTCATTTGATATTCATTGGATATTTAACTTGTCTAGTAAAATGCCCGAGGAAAAAGTTGTGGACGATATGGATGAGGCTGCGATTGATGCCGAGACATACAAGGCTAGAGAATGGGACGATTTCAAAGATGCTAATCCACGTGGATGGGGTAAATTATGAAACGTTTATATTAAATGTTATCCAAATCAATCGATGATAACTGTGATTCATTTTACTTTCGTCTAGGTAACCGCAGAGGAAAAGGCTGAATGATTACCAGTTAAACAAGCGCATTACTGTAGAACCTTACTAAAGACATTGCCTTTTTGTTATTTATGTTCGTAGTGGGAAAGAAGTTTCAACATTCTTTTTGTTACAACCGGCAATGTTTTTCTTTGCTAGTTGAATTCGAATAAATACCAAACGTCAAATAAACATTCATAGGACAATCGCCAAATATCACTGATACAGTACTATGTGCACTCACTCTACTACTTATTGTGACTCGGGCGCCTTTGTTTGACTCTTAGTGATCATCCTTCTCAGCTTCAAGCAAGTATTCCTTGATAAATGCTTCTTCCTCGGCAGAAGAAGCATTTACAGGAGGAGACGTATAACGAGGGTCAGGTGCCTTGGCTTTTGCTCGCATTCGTAGAAGAAAAATAGGTGTTGCAACTGCTGCATAGGTTGCTAATGCAAGCTGTGAAAGTGATTAGCGAAGACAAAGAGTGATAAGTCTATCAATATTTATGTCATATCAAACAAGAGTACTAATTAATATTCCAAGTAAAAGCTGAGCTTCAATTGCTTATTTCTTACATATTTGCTCGGCACTTGCCTTCCTCCGATGATAAACGAGGCTCCCATGGCTAATTTAACAGTAAGGAAATAGAAAATCTAATATTTCTTGCAAAATCTGGTATATCACGTGATATATACAGATCTTGTCATCCATTAAGATTAGCTGAGAGTAATAACGATCATTGTATAATAACACTGCAAGTACAATTTCAACACAAACAGTAAAATACTTTTGTGATTAAAATTTATTAAATACTAAATATGCTTGATAGTCTATAGTAATAGCGCCTACATTTCCATCTTTCTCTCCCTTATCTCATCCTCGATTATCTTATCCTCCAATCCTCCATTCCAAATCTCCGTTGTTCCCCATATGGGATAAACTCTTTTATACAAATACATCATGACTGTATCCTGTTGCTTTATTGGAGAATCAAATACACACTTCATATGTCCATGAGTACCCAATGATTCCTTAATATGTCCAGTGCGTCCATATTTTGAATGGAGTCGAACTGGTTTGAACCACTGGACGTCCTCTGAAGATATGGTGTTGGACATATTAATATTTAAAACAGGTGATGTGAGAAGCATAGGCAGATCAATCAATAATTTTGAAATCATTCTCACCTGGATTGAAGAACATAAACCGTATAACTGCAGATCGTTTGTTTATTTTTAGTGGATAACCTGTCAATATTATCCTCTTTGCAATGATACGTGTTGGGTCGACACTGTTGAACGATCCAGTGGCAACCAGGATGGAGTCTAACGATACGTCAGAAAGATTCGTGTTAGTGTCACCAAAATTGCAAAAGGGCGTTTGAAATAAAGACTTCGCTCATATTCAGTAATCCGAACCGTACCGTTAATATCCCCAGTATCTTTGAACACCAAACATGGCATTACGCCAAACACAATCGGCCCATATACAGTTGCGATACTCGTTCTTCCTACATTTAAAAATTTTTCAAATTTATGTACATTGTTGGTTCCCTTCTTGCTGTGTGTATGTTGAGAAAACAATGGATAAATTGTATATCTTCGGAAGCCACACTGTATTAAAAGGGGATCTTTAGACTTGATTGGCTCTGTGTAATGCGGTGTGCGTGTGAGAACAAAGTTCAAGACGGAGATACGATGTTCGTGTTGAAGCAGACCGAAGATTATAAATGGACGGGATGGATTGAAAGACTCTGTTAAAGAGTTACAAAAATGATCAGTGAACGTGGATGATGCACCATGCAAAGCACAGAAAATATCTTACCTTTAACTTCTTTCGGTACGTTAGATATGTGCAAAGTAATACGCATTCCCGGCTACAAAGCGGAAGGAAGCTTTTGATCCCGGCTCTATCAGGAATTCGACTCGACTGCCCTACCTCTTCCCCCCTTACCTTAGCAGCTCCAATCAATGCTTCGGCAGTGACTCTCTTCACAGTTCGCTTATAATCCGCGAATTGAAATATCCTTGCATAATCTATAGGTAAGTTCTCATAGGGATCCCACGGTGATGTACGAAAGCTTTCCAATCCACGGTATCGTTGAAATCGTACTCGTGCCGAGATATCCATCGGAGTGTCGACTTCATCTGGAAATTGTAAATCCTCGCGGTTTTGCTTCTTAAGGTATTCCTGAAGTCTTTTATAAGTATCAGAGAAGGTAGGTCATGAGGAAAAAAAAAAACATGGGAACGTTGATTATCATTTAATGATATTAGAATTTGATACAGACTGTTTCTCTTCATTTTCGTCCATTTGGTCAGATAAAGCTCTGTTTCTAGCCTCCAGTTCTATTTCCTCGTATTCCTCTTCTTCTTCATCTTCCTCCTCGATTTGCTTAATTGAGCTCTCTTCCTCTTGGTCATCATCACATGCCATAGTCTCATCTTCGTCGTCATCTTCTTCACTGTATTCTTCTTCTGAGTCAACAATCCATGCTGCCTGATAGGCGGACGTTCCTTTTGGAACTCGTTTCACAATTCTCTTTGGTGTCGTGCCAGGTTTAGCGTCCGGCAGATTATCAGACTCGACTGACATCGATAGATCTATCATTTTTCAGACATATTAACTCACAATTATAGATAAAGACAAGCCATATATATCTTCAAAAAACGTACCACCCGCTTTATCAAGTTCTTCTCTTGTTGGCCAAGTCTGTTCATTCTGCATGAGATCAGGCTCATTTTCGGCAACTAGAGAATCCCGCAAGGCTGGATCTGCCGTTTCAAGCGTTTTCGCGTCCATTGCCTGCAAGATTCAACAAAATTTAGGATTATGCATGAATTGGTCTAATGTGGAAATTACTGACTGTCTCACCATTTCTTCGGTATCCTCTCGAATTGTTGGACATGAGCTGATCTATGGTTGAAAGTTACAAGGATTCGATTAAAATAGATTTGCCAACAAGATAAATCTTGTAGAATGATTACGTATCATTAACGTATATTTTTCAATACCTCTTTCAGTTGAAAATCTCCATAGTTTTGCAAATGTACAAGACGGTTAGCAGAAAAGGGCACTCCTCGTGCATACCCACTTACTCGCAATGTACCAATGTTCTATAATAAAATCATGATTATATTGTTTGTTTCACACACAGTCTTTACAACTCCACCTGTAAGTACCTCATTGTCGTCATTGGCTATAAATGATACATCTTCTGCTAAAAGGTATGGGTGAGTATCACGCCATAAAATCTCTTTTGGAGTCTGGGTACATATCGTCCTAAGAATTGTCAATGAATCCTACAACATGTCTTAATACGCAAAAATTATAACTTTACAACTGAATTCAAATGAAATAGTTTCATACTTGAGTCTCACTTCCACAATAAAGCTTCGTTTCAGAAGGGAAGTAATGCTGTATGAAACTCAGTAAAGACTTCTTGACATCATTGCGTTTCTTGACTGGTACACTATCCAAGTGCTACAAAAATCGATTCAAATAAAACGGTTTAAAACTGATCATACTCTCATAACACCCAAACTGATATGCCCAACATACTCACCATCACAGTGCTAACCACACTAGGCACACCCTGCGCTTGTAAAGTTTGTAAACACTTTTCTCCAAATTCATCTACTTCTACTTCGGCCGACATAATAAATATTACGAAATCCGCCACTTTGCATGCGTCTATTATGTCGATAAAATTGCGAGATAGAAGAACGAGTTGCAGAGTTTGTTTGAAGCGATCCGCCCTTCAATTGGGTTAAACAAATATGCGTGTCAGAAGTGTGCGACGCGCATGAAATAAGGGCAAAGCGACGGACTTACTTGAGGTTCATTATTTCACGTTCAGTTGTTTCTGGTGGAGATTTGTCGACACTTTTGTACAAGTTTACAACCAAATCGTATGCAGAAACACCCGAACAAAGCGGTACAATTGCCTACGTATATATAAACACAATTTGCATGCATATCTATTATGAAAAGATATACTATCAACAATCAACTTTCCAAACATACCACAGTCTTGGGAGCAGCATCTTTCCCTTCAAAGAATCGATGCCTCTTGATTAATTCTGCACGTTGTTTCTGTTGATGCAGTCTTGCAGAATTCTTCCTGTCTGCCTTAGTTACAGCACCCTTCCTTGGTGCATTCTTTACAGACGTCCTAGAAACCTTGCCTATGGTCAATTCGCTAAATTATTAACTGGATCAAGGGTTTAATTATAAGAATAAGGTAATTTTATAATCAACCTTTTGTTTTATCTTTTAATGCACCTTTGGTAGCATGCTTTGATTTGAAAGGCTTATTGGTTTGCTTAAGATGAGAAGCTCGATGATGGAATGGTTTCTCTGATGGCATTTCAACAACGTGTTAATTTGAAAATTTTTCTGAAAAATTTATTTTATATCCGGATCAGATCTAAATTGAATGCTATTGGACGATATAATTAACCAATTGGAGATCTGGTGGGCAGGTGACAGAAAGGCTAAGCAACGCTTTAAACAGTCTGCGCGTATGTTCGAAGGAATAAAACTGTGTTTAATTGGGTCATAATGTTATTACCAATAGACTTGTTAGCAGAGGAGAGATTGCGTCAGTCAAAAGTTCGGGTGTATGCCAAGTCAGTTATAAATAGTTGTGTTTTGAATCAAATTAGTCGGTGTGATCTGAGAGGATACGAGAGCAATGATTTTATATTGGCGAAGGTATGTTGTCTGTGATCAGCTTGTTTTCACCAAAATGTTGCAAAATGGGTTGGGAATTTAGCTTTTTATTTGTTTTAATGTCTAATAATCGTCTGATTCCTTGATTAATATAGGAAACCACCTTAGAATTAGTCGAATTGACAGCTGAAGGATCACTCATATCTATTATAGAACAACCAGTGTTCGGTACCATAAAGGACATGAAAGTTCTTCACTGTAATTTTCCAGATGACAATGATCCTGATGCAATGGATATAGCTTCTCACCCTCCTATTCGTGGACAAGATGTGCTTGTATTTCTATCCGATTCTGGAAAGCTGAGCTTTGTGGGATACACCGAAGATGAAAAAATTAGTGCCGATGACAACAAGGGAAAAGGCAAGGCTCTAGAGAGCTCCGGTGATACATCAGAACAGAGAAATGGGAGATTTTATCCATTGAAAGAGGTAGATGACGCGAAGGTCATGTGACTGATAATTGATTAAAGACGCGTTCATCATTGATATGATTATTCAACAGATCAAATTGTCTGAGCCTGGATTTGACCATCGACAATTGGGTCGATTGATTTGCGTGGATCCATAGTAAGTGTTTTTTCTGATGGGTAATATTATAGTTGCTGTTATTTTGTCTTTGTTTATAAGAATAATGCTGAAGATTTGCCAGTTCTCGAGTTATTGCCGTGGCAGCCTGGCAAGATTCATTCAGTCTGTCGTTCATTAAAGATTCATCGAGATGCAATTTTGATCCAATTAGAGAGGTTAGTTTGTTAAAAGCGGTTCGACTGATACTACCCATTGTAATTATTAAATATCATATTTCTAATATAGACTAAGGAGCACCAACAAGAAGGTATAATTTGGCATATGACGTTCTTATATCCTGATGATCCTGATCGCGTTGCTCTTGCTATGGTGGTTTTCAAGTAAGTCTTATGGCGGTCATGACATTTATTATCTCTCCTTCAGTCTATTGATACTAGACTGTCATTACAGTGACGTGAAGAAGCAAAGTCGTATCGTAGTATATCAGTTCTGGGCTGGAGATGGTCCCCAGGGCGACATAATTGCTTATGGAACGTTAGCACTTGCTGAGGGTAAGTGCACGATCATATATGACAGGACATTATATGAATCGTAGCTAACTTGTTCGCCTTATTCAGATAGCCCACTACCGTTACACTTGATTGCTCTCCCAAACTTCCCAGAATGCTTTCTATTGATTACGGTATGATTCAGTTAATCGTTATACATTATTATCAATCTAGTCAAGCCAATTCATCCAACTATTTCAATCAGGAAAAAGATGTATGCTTTCTAAATGCTCAACAAGTGACTGTCGGACATGTTGAGTTCTATCGAGAATCCTTGCCTAATACTGAAGGTTCTTAACAATGACCAAATGAAATTTTTGCGTAAAAAAGAAGTACGGAAAAAAATTGACTCCTTTATATCTTATTAGCACTAACGACAGCCGTTGCAATCTCATCCAATAATGAAAGGAAAGGATCAACATATCTCTATGCAGGATTAGAGGATGGGAGTCTCTATCGTATTGACGTCGAGTCCAGCACATCAATAAAATTCAATCTTTTGTCTGAGAACGAACTCAACCCTATAGCACCAGCAATGGCTACATTCACAAGGGCTACTGATGGAAAAGACGTTATTATCATATCTGGAGAGATGAGCGATGGAGCTGTCGTCACTGTAAGCGAAATACCGATATATAATGTAGGCGTATCTATATGAATGCGAGTATTAATAATCATCTGCTGTAGGTGACTCCGGGCGCAACTAGTATTGTCGTAACTTCTGAGATATCCAATTGGGCACCCATACTGGATTTTCAGTTAGTGGACTTTCAGCGCGAAAATAACGATGTAGTATATTCCTGTAGTAATCGTGGAAATAAAGGTTCTATATGCGAATTACGACGCGTTATTGGGGTTCATATTGTCACCCAGACCGAGCCAGAGTTTGACGGGTAACTTGATCACATTGTTTTCTTTATTATTTTTACAACGGGTGATGAAATAATAAATTGTAATTGTTTAGGACCAATGCTCTATGGAGTTTAAAGTATACGGCTGACGATATCGATGATACCTTCCTCGCAGTGTCCTTTGCAAGTTCGACAAGAATGATGTATCTTGGCAATGGGGAATTGGATGACATTAGCGAAATTAGCGGCTTCAATTTGGACGTCTCTTCATTATGTGTCTCTTCGATATCTGCTGTGCCTGGTTGTTTGGTACAGATACATCGCAATGGAATGATTATAACACAACCAATTTTACGAGAAACAAATGCTTCGAGTAAGCAGCCAATGTAGCTTTTGAAGGCCTTTATTTTCATGCAAATAACAGAGACTGACATATGCTTATACATATTAGCAAATCGCGTTGACGGTCTTCGATGGTCACCACCGAATGATGAAGTGATAGAGGCAGCAACCGTTTCTGGTTCCTATATTCTCGTTAGTCTATCTACGAGAAATGGGAGTTTAATTAACACGTTTGTCGTAGAGTTTGATCATAAGACGTGAGTTTCACTTTGAAGTCTCTTGTTGGAATATTGCAGTTGATGTTTTCGGCATTGATTAATAGAACTATTGTATTGCTTATACTCAGGGGCTGTATAGCATTAAACAAGAAGGACGAATGTTTACTTGATACTCAACTGTGTTTCATTACTTGTGTTGATTCAAGGTTAGTAAACAGTTGACGTCCTTTTTTTTTTCAAGTGAATTTTTGTGCTTATGTAAAATATTTCGGGACATAGCGTCGTTACATGCGAACCAATATTCATTGTTGGTACATATAAACCCTCTATCAAGATATATTGCCTAAGACCGAGACTAGAACTGGTGTACGAGGTCATATTAAGTAAGTACCTTTTTTATGATCAAAAAAGGAGCATTAATTTCCTGTCTAATGTGTCGGGTTGCAACTGTAGACGAGTTCTCTTCGACTGGTATTAATATTCCAGAATCAGCTTGTATTATCGCAAATGAAGAAAAAGCATATCTGCTTATAGGTATAGCTTATATATGGTTAATCTTATTGTTTTGACTGTTAATTGATGTTAAATTAGTAAATAATTATAGGTCTTCGCGAGGGGACTATCGTTCACTACCAATTTGGGTGGTCAGAAGGTACATAATTGCTGAAATTGTGACTATGGTACATGGTGAACAATTATTGACATCGAATATAAAACATTGTCGTGCGTCTTTTTTAATCCAATTAAACAGAGAAATGTAAACCGGAACTCTCTCATGTCGGAACTCGTCGAATAGGCTCTCTCGCTGTAAAACTAGTTTCACGGCCTTCGAAAACGGCTTCTATCGTAGCATTGTCTGACCGTCCCTGGCAAATTGATATCCTGCCTCATTTGAATATTGGGTATACTTGTATTGCATTGGAGAATTATGAATATGTGTGTAAAAAGAGGAAAGGTTTATAAAATTAAGGCAGACACGTTTTAGTATCGAATTCTAATAGAAACTTCTTCCATTTACAGGTTCAGGAAGCAACGCCGTTCAAATATCCTGATATTACGGAAGGATATATGTTTGTTGCTAATAACTGTTTATATTTCCTCCAACTGGTTAGACGGAAGAAAACCAAAGTTCGGAAGATCAAGCTTGGTGATGTACGTGAACTGATTGACGTCACGAAATTCAGTATTGGTCTTTTGATTATTAATGAATAATTATTATTATACTTTAGACACCGCGTCGGATTCTTTATGATTCAGTCAGTAACATGTTTGTCGTAGCCTGTACTTTAGAGAGTGCGCCATTTCCAACCTCTATCATACGGCTAGTTGATCCTTTCAGGTTCTAACCCCTTTTTTACCCATCAATGCAGTTTTAACAATTCTCAATCATTAATTAATCGTGTTTGGCTGTGTGTAGTGGATCTATCAACTATGAGCACGTGCTTTCAGATTCGGACAGACCACAGAATCGTGAGGCTGTTTATTCACTTGTTGGTAAGAAAATATGGTTCAATGCATAAGTTATGGAACAAATTACAGATTATTATTTTGTATTATAGGTTGGAATTTGACAACAGAACGTCGACATCTCCGTTTAATATGTGTTGGCAGCGGTATATATGCCGGAAATGAAAATCCTTATGGAGGACGGGTTATGATTTTTACAATCATAAAGCTAGAAACTGCATCGGTATAATGTCACTAATTTTGTAATCAAACATAGATTGTTGCATATCATTTGTTAAACCATCTCTTAATACAGAATCCAAATCAAAGATATGAAATGAAAAAGTTAATGGAGATTGAAGTCCCCGGTGCAGTATATGTTATTTGCCCGATGAGCGATAGGTAGGTTGGGTGATTGTACAAGCAGGTTATTACGTAAAGTAATAAGGTAGCGTATAAGTATGGGTGGCTGTATAGACAGTTGGCATCATTGGCTAGGGTAAACTCCAAGAATTGAGTACTAAAATAACGTTCCATGCGAAAACAGATACCTCTTAATAGCGGCAGGAAATACTTTGAACCTCCTTAAATTGGACTTGGAAAAGCAAAGGTGATCATAATTACTCAAATCACTCTTACGCTTAGTTAGAACGAATGCTCACATTGTTTTTTCATGTCTTTCCTCACAAACACTCGTATGAAGTCTCATTAATGTACAAAGTATGGAACTTCGATGGCCTATAGTATCAATCAACGTCTGTAATACTCGAATATGTATAGGCACTCAAAGAGGATCGTTGACGTTCTATGAACTCAAACAAGACAAAGAGAAATTCTTATTTTTGAAAAGGTATTTTGATTGAATCTAGTTAAATATAATGCGTTATTTTTGTTTAATAAATTGTTTTATTTTTAGTGAACGTTGGGCCAGATTGACGACAAACTCCATCATGTTAAATGAGAATCTTGCTATCGGCACGGACAAGAATGGAAATATATTCGGATCGTTATATGACCAAGGTACTTTTAGTTATGTTAATTATGATTTTGGAATTATTATACATAATTATTATACATAATTATTAACCATTACACTTATACATCCAAGATGATCCAAATATCGAACCGTGTCTGCGAACGATATTCTCATTCCATCTTGCTGAAATTATACCACGCTTACGAACAGGCTATATCGGGCACAATATGAACTATGTACCTATAGCGTCTAGTTCCGATACAGATGAAAAGGAAGAGCAAGATACGATTACTGGCTTGCAGTCATCGGTCGAAAATATTTCACCCGAGACAGAAAGTAGTGATCAACCTGGTTGGGATGCATTTGACGATCTTTCGACTAAAACCCAACCAACTACAGTTGTTGGTTGTTCACTATTAGGAAGCGTATATTTATTTACCCGCATAAATATAGAAGCATTTAATTTATTGAGCGTCTTACAGTCCGTATTAGAAGAGTGGCACAATACAGTTCCATTATTAGGTATTCACACATGATTGTCATAGACCGTATTATTATTTAATAATAATTAACACTGTTTTCAACCATAGGCAACGATTATCGTCGCATCCGAACATCGATAAGTGATACGTCAACAAACGAATCCAGTTATATAATTGACGGGGAGATGGTCTCCCAATTCCTCCACCTTCCACGCCAAGAACAACACTTAATCCTCGCTTCACACGCCAATCTTGTCAAAGCTGGACAGACGTATCTCAACTATGAAAGGGACAATTCTGACCTGATGAAATCCTTCTATTGGTCCAATTCTCCTCCCCCAGCTCCGCCGCAATCACCAATCGATTTGACAAGCGAAAACGGAGACATGGCTTATGGTATGAGATTCCAACCGTGGAGTTTTGAGCAATTGAAAGAGGAAAAAGCGGACTTGAACGAAATTATTGTCGCTATTGAGAAGCTGCTGTGTGAGTTGAACGTAGACATCTCGTAATGCGAGGAGAGAATGAGAAGTAATGGGTTGTATATTGTGATACGGTTATGTGTGTGGCATACTGGGCTGTATAATTAATTAAGAGACACGGGGGATTGATTATATAGCATTATTGTATATTAGATGTGCATTTTTATCTGTTGCTATTCTTGACAATAGTGGTATAAATATAATAAAAGTGATATGCGAGCTATTCGACTGGAGTATCTACATATGTCTATACTGAAGATGATCGTAAAGTTGTTTGTATAAATTATTAAGTTTTGGCATGTTTTAGTTTTTCATTCAAAATTTGAGTCACTATTTGTACAAAATATCTGTGTATGCGGTCATCATCAGTAAGCTCCGGATGGAATGCCGTGCCTAGCAAATGACCTTGCTGAACGGCAACGACTGCTGAAGCATCGGTTTGACCAACATTATGCTCTAACTTGGCCAATACTTTTACATCTGACGAATTGATTGAAGTAATGATTGGAGCACGTATGAATACAGCCGGAAAGAGGTCAGTATCAGATGTCGTTACGTTGGCAAAGTTCAAGGGAGCTTCAAACGAATCAATCTACAGATTGCAAGTATGATTAATATATTACGAGTCACTCGAAATCGCTCATTGTCAAGATCAAAAATACAGTAATTACCTGACTACCAAATTGGTTCCTGTTGACGGCAATGTCTAATCCACCAAGTACCTTCTGTCCACCCTTCTTTGTTTTATGCACTTCGTTGGCTAGCAATATCAACCCAGCACAGGTCCCCCATGTAGGCTTAGTTTGCACAAAGTCCTTTAATGAATTCAACAGCCCCGACCTTTCGGCAACCAAAGCTATAGTTGTCGATTCACCTCCCGGTATTATTAATGCGTCAATCGTTGACAAATGTTCTTTTCTCCGTACGAGAACCGCAATTACGTTGGGAAGACGAGATAGAATGTTTACATGCTCGAGAAAAGCGCCCTGGAGAGCTTAGTTGTTGATCAAAAAGAATGTATTACTAAACAACGTAGTTGTCTGACTGTTAGACAAAACAAATAAGGATAGTGTACCTAACACGCCCACACGAACTTGTTGAGTATTATCTTGGCTGTCTCCAGTATGGACCATAGTCGAATGTTAAACAATGATTGTAAATTGTTAAATTGTATATTTTCAAAAGCGAGAAAGAGAAGGAAAAGAGATATTGATCACCCACGAGCATTTGTATCACTGATATCCAGTTTTTCGGTTATCAGCTGTTCGTCAGCCGTTCACGAAAACATTGCTGCAACCCTAAAAAATTTCAGGGGTCAATTGTCGGGAAGTTAAACTGTGGGAAACCCTCCCCTAAATCGTATAATATAAAGAGAATGAGCGACATATATAGCTAAACCCGTAACTTTGCATTGTTTACAATAATCTTTATCCAAATTGGTTTACTATAATAAAAAGTTTCTCATATTAAACCGGCTAAAAGACAACGGAACCCACGAGATTTACCCTCCCGATCCAATGAACTTCTGATAAGCGAAAGTTGATTAAGTGATGAACGCGCGCCGGGCTGTAAAGGAAGCAAGTACTAGTACGCCTTCAAAATACAAATTACAGTCAGTCTGATCTATGATTAATCCTAGCAAAGAAAAACATTTTTGGACGTGATATGTATCAATTTGATGACAGAAAGCACATAGCGACATTATAGTAATTCTGCTTAGACTTGTTTTAGCATAGTAACTGTATATTAATATAAGCATTCTAATCAATCTGACCCGGAGCATGGCAAATCACACATACACAGAAGTTTTCTCACAAAACAAGAATATGAGAATTTATTTGATCAGGCTTTTGCTGATATGAGCAAATTACAAGGGCGTTTTCAAGATTCATTTCTATTTCTATTTTACCAAAATATACCAAGCTAGAATGATTTTTGTTCTACATTCCAAATACACAGGTAACAAGTAATCTATATAACAAGTTTAAATTCAATGCTCGACAAAAAGTTTTTATTTACAACATTTTTATTATATCAAGAAACTAATGGAAAGACCAATTGTTAATATTGGATACATTTTGATTGACATGTTATAGTGCAATGTTTTCAATTAATATGCAACTGTTTCAAGCTGCGGCTTCTGTTTGAGTATTTTTAAATTTTAATAAGTCAGAAATAAAATTGATTATAAAAACATTGCATTAGCATCACTAAACACATTATTAAAAAAAGTCGGAGAGAAGAGTCCTTGCCAAATATAATTGTTATTTAACTTCAGAGAAGTTGGCAAAAATTTAATTTTAGAGAATGGCTGCTGTTCCAGTGTCTTTGCCAAAACCATTGTTACGATCTCATTATCATTACGCGCTATCGGTGAAACGGTGGTCTACCTAATAGTACTGCTACGTCTGGAGTACGAACGTTCTTTAAGCGTTATCAAATAAAAGACAAAGTAGTACGAATGTACATTCTCGTCATAATCGGATGTAAATACGGCGTTATTTCTCAGGAAAAGGGCAAAGCGGATGTTTCTCATATGAATTCTAATATTTTTATAGGCAATAGATTTTGGGGATGATGTTAATTCAAAACTCTGATTGCCCTTAATCACGTGACTATCATTCTGAATACTTTCGCCAGTGATGACAGAATTCTTGATTCTTATGGTGCTGTTGAATAGCTAAATCCTCGCCAACGTTCTCCCACACTGTAGACAATGCACGAGATACTTCTCGACGCATTGGTTTCCGCTGTAGCGGCCGCAATAGTCGTAGTGACAAAAGAATGGGTAAGAAGTACGCAATCTCTCTTTCACTTTAGTACCTACAGTTATATTGCAGTCTAAATTGTATTGCTCTAATACGTATTTTTTCACTCAGGTACGTAGGCGCAAAGCTAGAAAACTTCGGTACTGTGGAAATCTCCTTCCGCTGGTACGCCAAGCCAAAGAAGCGAGAGATTTACGAGAGTTGGCCGAGTGGTTTTTGAGTGACGATGAAGACGAGGACATTCAGGCGCAGGAAAACGTTGATTCTATTGAAGTTGAGGTTAATAATAATATCGCCAACAGTAATAATACTAACGATAAGCCAGATCAACTCGATCAATAATGTATTATAAATACATTAGTTGTTAGTGTTTGTTAGCTTTCATATATTTTTTATTCCCACTATGCGTGTGAAAGAGTAATTGAACGGATAACTTTTTTCTCCCGCTTTTATTCTGACATATCCTTCTGTGCACGATTGTTCATCTACATACTTAGATTACAATTCCTCTTCCATAATCGATCTCGAAACCTCAATGAGTAGCTAGCTATTCTTGCATTCCATCAACGTCCTCGCTCATTCCAAATCTCTGGAGGCATATGTTACTACCGTGTTCCATATATTCAGCTCGTGTCACGAGTTTATTCCGATGATCAGGTGAACCTGCATAATTGGAGCCACCATGCCATGTGTACGTTATTGGACTATGATATTTCATCATTAGGAGTAACGGTGGGAATAATGTTGTATATAGATGGGAATTAGTAATAAGAACAGGAGGGGAAAAGAAAATAAAAAGCGTGGATGAGACATAACTATCGGTTAAGACCATCATGTGGGTCGTTGTCACTATCACGACTGGATTATCTACATATAATGACTTCACTTTTTTTCTTTCATTAACTTACTTTTCAGGCATACCAACTCGCACTTCATATTCGGATGGGGCTAAAACACGAAGATCTTGTTCGCTGGAGAGTACGGAATAGTGACAAGTGGAAGAATTCGTGTTGTAATTAGCAGGTGTGAGAAATCTCGAATAAATGAATTATGCTCGTCGGGTAATCGTTACATTCTCTCCTTGTATCCGGGGAATGAAGCATTCCCGCCAACCAAGACGATATTGCTGTAAAAAAGTCCGTGCAGATCTGAGCGATTAATAAAACACGGAGTGACATATATTAGCCGCTTGCTTATCTTTACTGGGCTGTTCAAAAATTTCCAGTATAGTGTACCTGAATGTGTAAGACTAACGGATTCAACAATGGTTTCCGGTATGCCTGCTTGATTCATTCCAATATTGGATGGATGGAAGAGCAGCTCCGGAATTGTAAAGCGTTCGTTGTTCATGCGTAGTACTTGATCTTCATATATATCATTCGTACTGCGAGAACTGCGTTTCTTATCCTGTCAACAGATTTAGAACAGTTTAGGAATTGCTTGATAATTGTATAGTATTGCTTGGTAAGGGTACCAAGGGTGCCATCAAAACTCAAATACTCACTCTAACATAACCCTTTGAATTCCTTGAAAAATCTGGCAACACATATTCTTGTACAATTGGATTCTCTTTCGGATTCCTTCGACCTGTATCCAAATCTCCAAGAAAGTCCTTGGATACGTAACAGCATGTCTCTTTGATTTCGTTCACTACGTAAGTCTGATCCATCATATCCCAATGCCTAATAAACATCAATAATCATGTAACAGTCCAATATACATTTGACTTTTGCATTTATATTACCTGAATGACACAATCTCTTTCAAATGATTTGTCAGTAACTTCCCCCCAATGTTAATACGCCTGACTGCAGTTAGAACAGGGCGACCCACTACGATTGGCACTATATGAGTAAACGAGTAACCCGAATCGACCACAAGGATACAGTCTGGACGTTCATTGACTGAGGGCGTCTGAGAGGGGAAGAGAGAAGAGACATTGTTATATCCACATAGATAAGGCGCTATGAACGAAGAAGGATGTATATGATAAGTCATGATGGTACAAGAATAGGAAAAACATCAAGGTACAATTGACTGATGAATCCAATTGTCAATATATCGAACATATAATCATAAAAGATATAATTGCTCGCTAAGCATTACCGATCACTCTGCAACAAGCATAGAACTCGTAAGCTTCGAATATCATTTCATCATAACAGTGCTGAATATTAGGGAAATTAAAACAAGGCTCCGTAATCAAAAGACTTGTGCTAGTTGGATTAACCTAGCCGAATGCAAAGCAAGTCATGTCATTATCAGTCGACACGTTAACCGAAACACGTAATCGACATTACTACTCACGTTCAAGATATCTCTACTAAAAGTCCTATCCCACAAGCTCTTCTGGACTTCCCAGTTGGTCAAATAACCCTTTGCAATTCACCAAGTCAATAGACATACAATCATTTTCGGCCGACTCTTTCAACAACATAAATCAAACCACTATTATTCGCACGAGAAAATGTTCCAACCAACTTTCTCGAATGGAAGACGATAATATAGTCCGGCGTAATCGCTCAGTTTATGTAGCTGATCACCAGTAAAAGTGGTTTTCTCACCCTTTCCCCGTGTTACTTTACAGTTGGGTATTACGCTATTTTGATAAAAATGGAAAAGAGACAAGGGAGCGTGGAGGTAAGGTTGGTACTGTATGGCGCGACAATGTTGACAAACTATGTCTATAGGAAATGTAGGGCTTTATGCATACTGCAATGTTTCTGGTTGTTTGGCATAGCCAGCCTTTATTGTACTTGCTCCATTGTCCATAACTAGTATAGGATTATCGGCCATATTGCTCGCGTGGTAAATCAACAACTTTTTGTTTCAGACGAAAATACTGAAATAGCACATATTATACCTGCACGTGATGCAAATTAGATATCGCGATGATCTCACACCGAATAGGTGACGTAACAATTGTAGTGTTAATGAATTAGTTGAGCGAATATATTTATATTTATCCCAAGTTGGATAGAAAGCAACTAAATAATGAGCACTTTTGCGGCCTTGTTCGATTGAGCTGGAGGTCTGATTTTTTATCCGGATTTACTAAAAAATATTATTTTTTTTTAAGTCAAATACTGTATACATGCAAAAGTCGGTTATAATAAAATCAAAATTGATTATTAGAACACGCAATCTGGTCATATATATTAGGCATGCAAAACATACTGGATAGTGTTTATCAAAAGTCGATCAGACTACAAACATATACTTAAACTCAGGTAGGCATATCAATATACAGTCGAACCTCGTTATACCGAAGGAATTCTGGCTCCCCCGTTTTTAAATAGTAAAATCTCGTTACCGAAGTTCGATGCAAGATTTTTACATCGCTTATACCGAATGTTCATCACATGATAAAGCTGTAGAATAGTGATTGGTTGTAGCAGATGAGAATCATACAATTTTTGGTCATACGATTTCGCATCATACGATTTCACATCATACGATTTCGCATCATACGATTTCGCATCATACGATTTCACATCATACGATTTCACATCATACGATTTCGCATCATACGATTTCGCATCATACGATTTCGCATCATACGATTTCGCATCATACGATTTCACATCATACGATTTTAGCTGTCGTATTTGTGAGTAATTTTGATCGGCCATATTTCGTATCTACTGTTTTTTAGATTATATTCATGTATTATTGTTTGTAAATTGAAGTAAAAAATATTATTCACATAACGAATATTGCTTGGAATTTTGCGTTCTTTATTTGTTTACACCTACGATTGAACGCTAAAGGTGTACACGAATATTGCTTGGCCTAGGCCTAACTTCGTTATATAGAGGTACCTCACTATACCAAATGTCTCGTTATACCGAATCATGGTATAACGAGGTTCAGTCTCGATAAATCGGTGAACGCGCACACAACATGACTCTTTAATTTTAACTGGTGGATTTTTATTGTTGTGTAATCGTTAAACCATGTTGTTAGAATCGTATGAAAAATACTCAATAGTGTGCTAACTAACCCGTTACTAAACATGTATGAGAATTATACAATACTTTATTCAATTAGCGTCAAACGATAATATAAAAGTTATCGTGATTTACATAGTACGTATAGACAGTAGAGATTTTTCGTATGTTTTACTAACAAATTTCACGAATACTTTTGATCACAATGTATCATGAGAATGTCATCAGAAGAATATTATGTCATTAGAATCAGACTATCACCAACATATTATATAACAAAAGTTTACGACATACCATAATGAAATCAGTACTTTTGGATCATCTAGCAATCGAATGATTTAGTGTAAATAGAGTTCGGTGCGGTCAGGTATTTAAGTCGGACAAGAAAGCTCTAGCTGACGATTATTTTACTATGGTTTAAGTAGATGGTTTTAACCGACCAGCCGACTGACGAACTATTCACGTATGCTATTTACGTTTTCATTGATTAGAAAGTAATATAATATACGTTGGCTAATTCAATTGGGTCAGTGTAACATTGGACTTTTGTTTACATTTAAACTTTATTGATGTAACATTATATATTAATACGGAGATCAACATAAACGTAAATCGTAATACATAATTAGTTGGGATGCACACATGTACTCTATTAAGCTAGTAACTCAAATTCATGACTTGCTTATCCCTTGGTCGCAAACACCTCGAATGAACTACTATCTCCACGGACGGATATATCCTTTTGGAGCACCACTTGAATAAAGTACGAAAACCCTGGTCTAGCCCATTTGGGGTCGATGACAAAGTCTTTTGTGCCAGTATTAGCGTTTTTGCCCTTTATAATAAAAAATATACCCAAATTTTAGTAAAACTTTCCAGTTTGCAATTATCCGATTTATTAGCAAAATAATTCAACTTACAGTAAACGTAGCGAATATAGCGGCGCGGGCGTTTCTCACCAGAATTGTAACTTTGTCTAAAGGAAAAAAAAAGGTTGATTATTATTCGAAAAGAATATACTTTTGAAAATAAAGAATTCTGCTAAAAATTGCATCCTTACCGGTTGATTTACAATCATTACACCACCAACTGACATTTTGTATGGATTTAATGGCACGGAGACCTGGGCCTGGAGATGAAACGTGAAGAACGGGAGTTCGTTTATCGAGTTCTGGAACTGGGCTGGAAACCGTCAACGTAGCGAGCATTACAACGAGAATGACAAAAAGTCCCAAAAACTTGTTGCTGAGAGGATTCATTTTTCTTGATATTTTAAGTAACTGGATTGGTATGTGAACTATGAGAGGCTTGATATAACAAGTTATAGATTGACAAGCTAATGAATCTGCTCGCTGAAAGTCAGTGAAGGAGAAAAGCAGTGTTTAAATACTTTTCTGGTTGTACGATTTTAGTTTATATGAAAGAACATATTAGCGTTGCATAGGCTTGTCTTGATTGTATAGTGAATATATTATGTCGTCAGTTATCAAAACGCCTTTGACGTGACAAAACAAAGAATAATCTATTATTAGTAAATTATTAGTAATTTGCCTATTTTTAGAGGAACGTGTCCGTCATAATATCCCATTGTTTAAAAGTCAGCAGATATCCCGTGTTCGGTAGGAGTTATTAATTACAATGCAGGGGAAAGGAAATACGGCGTGAATTCCATGTATTCATGGAATATTATAATCAGTATACAAACAATTTGTTTCTTGCTTTATCAAAAGCAAAATGCGTTGCTCAGATGATTTTCCCAACATTCGAAATTAGGACTGATCTTCACTTACACAACATGGGGCAGTGCAATCCTGAATTGTGCGTTGTACTACGAATCCTTGTGAAATTCTTGGCATGTTTGCGCTTGTTTGCGTCATCACAAATTCTATAATCTTGTAGAAAGCCTTATGCTGATTGAAGTTGATGCGACTGCTTACATTATAGTATTTAATTCTTTTCTCTGCTTTTTCACAGCAAAACATCTCCGTTTTCTATTCGATGGTATATCAAGCTCGAAAGCCATATCGGAAACTCCTTGTATCTATATTTAACATTGGCGTGTAATGCCATAATGTAGCACAACTGCCTTGCATGCATTAGCAAACAATTGAAGTAAATCGCTAAAGTATTTTGCTTACAACTGGAAAGTTTTAAATTGGAAACAATCTAGATAATATTGCAAATGACGTATATTGACAATAGAATAAAGAATGACTAATTTGCAATCATAAGTCAATTGTATTAGAATTATAGTTAATTATAATGGCTCAATCTTTATTTAGACTGTCAAGTAGGAACGCTGCCGGCAACAGTTCATCAATAGTAATTACAGTTACCTGCAAAATTAATTAGTGCTTCTAGGGTTCTAATTATAGTTAGGTTATTCCAATAGTCGCACGGATTCAAGTCAGGATAAACGTTGTTTGTTTTCTAAACATAGTAAACCCTGTACATTCTATGTACTAGTACGTAATTAACATTTACTGTAAACGTGATGGCGTACAAAATCTAACCAATCCGAGACTGACTTATTTGCAGAGAGAAGTGTTACGAGCAGAATCAAAGGCATAATATTTACAAGCACTGTTGTTCCTACCAATGAGTCATTGTGGATTGATATTTCTTCGCAAATTTAATTGCTATTGTTAAGGGATTCCGAAAGAATGCATGCTAAAAGGTGTTATACTATCAGTATCGACAAGCAATTCTTTTTTAACAATACCGCGAATAAGTTTTATTACTTGGGATGCTTGTGAATTGTTTGTCTGATAGTAACTACCGATTATAATTAGTAACTGAGTTAACACACATACAGTTACTTTATTCCGAAATTTAAAGTGTGCGCTAATTATAACAGTTGATTATTAGAAAAATTGGAAATCCTGATTGGGAGGAGACAATGCAAATGGCGTGTTAAAAAGCCTTCTTCCCCTCAAATGAATTTTCCCGCATTTGGCGTTCTGAGTTTTGATGCTGAACGATCTGTACTACTAATTTTAATTGCATGGCTGTAATTTGCCGCACTATTTTTATACAGGCATTGCATTATCACTAAATTTAGCGTAATGGTAATGAACTTGCAGCAAATATTGACACAGTGTCCTTAAATAAGTTATTAAGCAGTAATAACAAAATACATCCCTAATATTGTGCGTCTATTAGTAGATAATGATTTGACTCTATTAATATCACTCGCAATGTAATTCAGCTTATACGTAAGTGCAGTATCTATTTACGTCAAATCCCGGACTTCCACGGCTGTACGGCTACGTTAATATTAACCAATATTTAGATACAGATAATCATTACATTTCACATAGTACATGAAGTAAATATGCAGATTGCGAGATTACATAGTGAAATGTCTTTCAAGTAGCTGAACTAGAAAAGTGAACGAAAAAGGATAATATTGCTTTTGTGCTGTTTCTCAAATTCAAACTGCAAAAATAATGAGGTAAAAATCGTAGAGGAGGAAGACCACTTAATAAAGCTGGTGGGTTGCTGAAAATTTAAGAGACTCTGAGGCTTACTATTTAAAATAAACCAGAACTTTTTGCAGCAAGAGAGATAAAAGTTACGGATGGTTGTAGTGAAAATTAAGAAACATTAGAGTTAATCTGTTATTTTTTATTTAATACAAAAATTATTCAATTACGTTTTGTATTGGCTTTGGACAAGTAATATATCCCTGACAAACGGACAAATGCTCTGGTAAATTCGGCATAATTACCATTAGCAACTATCTGAACTTTGACACCTCCAGGTTTAATTGCTTCAAAAAGAAAATTTGCAAACCACTCAATCTTTTAAACACGAAAATTAAAATTTAAATATTGAAACCCTTTTTCATTGTCATAACTATTAGCTTTTTTTTAATACCGTATGCTTGATCCCGACAATATAATCCACGCAGTCGGCTGTTATTTTTCAGTAAAGCCCAAAACTGGCACCATACTTGGATTTTGCGCCATAAAATTTAATTCAATACTTTCTTAATTACAAAATACAGATCAGATAAATCAAATGGTAGCATTCTCCCGCCATTATCTTTAAACCCAATTTGTTCGCGTTCTTCATCTTTTACGCAGACTAAAATAATAGATCCTATTGATCTTAACTATAATGGGCAGCAGCAGCAGCAGCAAATCAATACTACCTAATTAGCTCCTGCTTTTATCAGGGTCGTCAACATTCATTTTTTTTTGTCGCTTTAAGAATCAAATTGGCGGTATTTTCGTTTTGTAGGTAAACTGGAGCAACATCTAATTATTGCTATAATTATTAGCTTGACGCTTTTTCGACACGCATGTCGCTTTTTCGACTATTACGATGCGTTAGCGGTGGATTGCTGTACGGTCGTAGCACTTTTCGCCAGGTAATTCGGAATCTAAATGGCGTGTCGCAATTGTGTCACTGATGGAAAAATAAGGGGAAACAAAACGTCAGAATTACTTGTAATGTCTTTTCATCCCTATGAGAATCCAAACGTCAGCGAAAAAGATGAGTAGATGATACTTTTATCGTTATTAATGATACTTACCACATGCAATTATTACGCTTATCGTCTTTGAACAGAATGGAATAATATAATTATATTCGGTTTGATTTCTTTGAAGTAGTTTTTTCCATTTCGAAACTGTTTTTGGCTATAAAAATAATAAAAATATAAATATTACAACAAAGTTTCAGTATCTTTGCAATAAAAAAAAAGATCGATACTAACAAGATTTTAACACATTTCTCTTCCATGTGACATTTTGTTTGTTCCGACATTCTTCACAATCATTGAAGTGTGTTCTGTTTCGCTTATAAATCCAGAAGTGGTGATTCTTTGGGTCAACCAAAAGACCAGTAAAAAGCTACCAGTTCCAGCAAAATCAAGTTCACTCATTAGAAAAGTCTACTCACCGCGTTCTGCGTATCAACCATATTTTCCTCCGCGTTTACACTCCCCTCCCCGGTGATTTGTACCTCTTAAAATGTGCCAATAAAAACAGCCAACATTTGATCCTCTCCGAATATTATTTCCTTCCAAAAGTTTTCGTGCTTCGGTGGCAGAAGACTCAACAGTAGTTACAATACCATATCGAATAGCTCAAGAATAAGATATTAAACGTGTATGATCAGAGTAAAAATGATAGTGGTATGTATAAAGGATCTAATAAAATAAACACACCGACTCTACGCTGTTTTTATATCTTTCGAACGGACTAATTGATCTATTTTTAGCAGCAATTACATCATTATTTCCTATTGTTGTCGGTATACAGCACTTACAGTGTGTTACAAAAAAAAGCGGAATTATATTTTAGTCTATTACTATTGTGTGATGAAAAAAAAAAGCCGAATTGTCCAGAATTTATAATTATATTTTGTATAATATAGAGAACAAATTTGCTTAAGGACAGTTAATAGATTATCTTATTAAAATTTTTCTTAATTTATAAATTAATCTTGGGAAAAAAATATCGAAAAAGTAATTATAAGTAAAAAAAACAACAAACCCATTTTTTATAAAAAAATTTATTAAGGTATTTAATTAAGTAACTTTAAGTAAACTCGTTTGTAACAACATGGAGAACACATTTGAAAAATTTTTATGTGAAAATAATAGGATTTTTTTTGTTTTATACAAGTAATAACAAAATTTTTTGAGTTTTGAATTTTTGAAATTAGAAACATTTTAATAAAATAACTCATTAAATTGCCGTAAGTAAATTTGTTTCTTGTATAAAAATACATATATTTGTAAACTTTTATCTAATTCCGTCATACTTTTTATATTATAAAAGAAAAATTCCGCTTTTTTTTGTAACACACTGTATATAGGTGCTATTACTATTGTTCTGCTGCACTAGCACTTTCCCTGATGGACTCGGATTGGTAATGGATTCAGCTTCATGAAATTTGTGACCTTCTCTTGATAGTTGGATATTTCCGAGATTGCATTGATAAATGTTGAGTGAATATGGGAGTTCTCGTATATCGAATCATCGTTTGTAATGGACAGCATATCTATTAATCACACAAACAAGTAGAGCAAAAGATAGTTAGTAACACATGGTTAAAACAACTCAATGCAAAATATTCTACTGACCAGCATCTGAATAGTTTGCATATATATACCGTTATATAAATCGTCATTGGTGGTGATGTTGCGGTTGACGAGGAGGGGGGTAGCAGTTGAAGATAACGGGGGGGGGTTGTTGAGGGTGCTGTTGTCACGTAACTGTTCATAGATCTCATTCATATGCGTACT